ATAACTTTGGTATATGGATCTTAGTTCTGACACATCCTGTACAATTCAAAATAATTTTAAATTATGCACCTTGCCTTCCCACATATACCTATAAAATATTTTGTTACTACATCTTTCTGTTTTCGTATAATCAACCGAGGCGAATGAGGTGCACCACCCTGTATACATTGAGAATTATTACAGTGTGTGAATAATTCAATGAACAATAAGGCAACAATTCAGGAATTAGGCGTGCATTTTTTAACCTTAATTCAATATCCATTATTCAGTTTTAACACTGTTAACAGTGTTAAACACTTTTATACTTATACCGAGTAATTGATTGTTCGAACGCCGGTCGTGGGAACCTATTGTATTGTAGAAATTAGAAAAAGGCTATACATATAGTTGATTGAAAGAATTGGGACGACACGCAACCTAATGGGCAAATACGCGACAAGGCTGATTTAAATTCCCCGTGCGTCTTAAGTGCTGTACGGTGGAGCCTCTACGCGTTCTGCGGTCGACGCATAAAACACTCATTTTCTCTAATTCGACCAGCGAAGGAACATCGAAGACGGTGTGGAACTTAAAACGACAGTGTTGCCGTATTAAAATGAGTAATATATCTGTAAAACTGTCTGGGTTTTCTTTCTTGTAAATTTAATCTACTTTTTTAACTAAAAACTAAAAAATTAAAAAAAAAATAAAAAAAAAATACAAAAAAATTCAAAATTTTCAAAATGTTTTCGTTGAAAAACAATCTCATAATCGTGTTTCTGGGGTCGAAATATAGTACCCCTAAAAATATTTGCACTTATCTAAGACTCGCCCTGTATTATTAAGGTATTTCTCGTCACTTCGACCTCTGACCAACAGAGATATATTTTAATCGAATATTTGTATGCCTATACAATGTGTCCCAGAAATAAGTGCAAGTATTTTAACTGGTAGTATAATTCAACCCCAGAAAAACGCATATCAGGTTTTTTTCACGAAAAAAAAATTTTTGAAAATTCGAAATTTTTTGAAAAATTTTTTGGATTTTTTTTACTTTTTAGTTAAAAAAATATAATTTCTTGATAATATGGCAATATAGGTACTAGATTAAATTTACAAAAAAGAAAATCAAGAAAAGATCCACTGGTTCTCAAAATTTGAGCAAAAAATATTTCGAGATCTACCCCCCTTAAAATACTTGCACTTATTTCTGGGACACCCTGTATAGTTTTAAATTATTATTTGTTTTTTTTTATATAAATTTAGGACTTCAAGACTTTATTTTATTCACAGGGAAGACCATATTTATCGCAATATCCTAATACTTACAAATAGTCTAATTATTTTACCTCAGCTGCTGCAAATTAATCCATATCTATAAGCGTCGCTCCTGACGTAAGTAAAATGAAAACCATCCCCCTATCCCAACAAATCGTTTCAAATTTCTGTTCAGTAAAATTATATAAGCTGCTGCAAAGGACACACGGGCAGAGTCACGTGACCGGGGCGTCACGTGTAGCGTTACAAACGTACGTCCTCGTCAATAAGTAGCAAAACAGAATAGCGCTTATTTTTCTTGAAGCCCTTATTTCAGGAAAGTTTACAGCTATTCAACATCGAGTACAATAATTAATGAAATGATATGGATATAGGTGCGTCACGTGGCCCTGCATCTTCTAAACATCGATAAGGTTTAAACAAAAGTTTCAATTGACTGTTTTGCATTTTCTTTTATAGGTGTACTTGTATTGTATTTGACTAAGAGTGGGTCCCAAGGGGGACCCTCCACTGAGGCCGCGAGGGCCTATTGTGGCTCAGTTTCTACAAGCTCTAATTTACAAGAGCGTCAAAGTTCATCCTCAAGACCCAGCCTCTTAATATAGGCCGTTATGTCTGAGGGCGATATGTCTCCTAGGTCTGATAGGGTCTAGCATGGGTTTGCCAAACATCTCAAACCTGGTCCTGCTCCCAGCGGGGCAGGTACACATAACGTGCTTCATTGTTTCATCATCTTCCATACAGAGTCGGCATTCGGCGTCTTCCACCAGTCCCGTCCTCTGCAGGTGAGATCTCAGCCGGCAGTGGCCCGTGTACACTGCAGTGAGCACACGCGTTCCATTCCTACCGGCCTTTAGGAGTTCTCCTGTTCTATGTTTGGATGGCCCTGCTAGGATTTTCTTGGCATGCTCCATTCCGGGACTGTCATTCCAGTCTCGGAATGTCTCACCCCTAACCCATTCACAGAGCCTGTCTCTTGCGAGATTTTTGGGAACGCTAAGTGTCGGTTCTGGCCCCCACGAATGGCGCGCCTGCACCAATTTTGGCGAGGGAATCAGCACGTTCATTTCCCTCTAGGCCGACATGTCCCGGTATCCATATTAGCGACACTTTGTTCCTATCTCCCAGTATATTGAGTAGTTTCTTACAATGAAGAATCGTCATAGACGTGCTTTTCGTTGCCTCAAGTGCTTTCAGCGCAGCTTGACTATCCGAAAATATGCATATTGTTTTCCCGGTGTATTGCTGTTCTACCAGCAGTTGCACACAGGTTTCAATAGCATATAGCTCAGCTTGGACTTACCATAGGTGTACTTACTTTACTAACAATTGTGTTGACAGAAGTTCTAGTTATCGCTATACCGGGTGTGTCAAAAGTGGTTCAGCTCTATAACTTTTTTATTTTTTCAGATATAAAAACGAGTACATAAATTAGGATTAATAATTGACGTATTCCCTTGTTTTTGATCACTTCCTGTTTCACCGGAAATGATTACAACTTTTGATTTTTTAATGACAACCTCGGTATTTTTTTACCTTATTCGATAGAAAATGATGATATTCTGAATAGAATGACATATCGTATGTCAACTTTTGACACTTTCGCATATTATGGTTTATATGACATTGTAACATGCGGTTCATAACGTCAATTTGACTCGAAGTACCAAGTGTGTAGTACCAAACTATTATATGCTTAAAAAAAGCTATAAATGCTTTTTTCAAATATGCTAATGAGCCACCCTTGTTTCATTTGAAAAAATTGGCGCCGGGAGGCACCCATACTAAAATATGTTAATATAATATGTTAATAAAAAGTTGGTAGGCAGTTCTTTTAATTTCAAAGTAAAGGAACTTTTTCATTTTTTTTTATCTCAAAAACTGCGACTTTGACTGATTTCGATGTTATTACAAATGTTGCAAATATTATTCCTAATCTTAAATTGAAAACCGCGTTTCGCTAACTACTGTAATTTTGGAGTTTTTTTTTTAATTTTTAACCCCCTCCCATACCCCCTTACCAACTCCCCACCCCCACCAAAAACTAATGGCCAGATTCTCGGGTGGCACAGTCGTATTTTGTGTCAAATTTGTTTAAAATCGGTTTAGCGGTTTTTGAGTTATCGTGTTCCAGATGGACAGACAGTATTTTGTATTTAGGTCATTTATAACCCAAATAACTAATTTTGAGTGAAATTAAAAAAACTTTTTTTTTGCCGATCTTAATAGCCTACCATACCTATTGTCATATATATATATATAGTTTTGATATAAATGACATAATAAACTTTACTCTAGCTATTATATTAACTCGCCTTGTATGTTCATATACTGATCTATATTCGGCTTTATTAGAAAAAACAATTGATATTATTCTTATTATTAAAATTCAATTTTTATTTTGGACACACAAAATTGCAGTTTTATAAAATAAATATTATGCGCCTTTCGGATTTTTGAAAATTACTTTTAGAAGTTACTAGATATTTAGAAATAAATATAGGTATAACTGCTATATTAAAAATATTTTGTGGTGTATTTTTGCATATAATAGACGAATTTCCAAAAACGCATAGACGAACCACTGCCGCGCATAGACGGTGTACAGGGTGGACCAGTTTGGTTGTTTCTATAGGGTATCTAGGAAACCGTGAGAAATATTCAAATTTTGATACTGCAGTCTCGGGTTCCTTTTTTGAAAAAAAAATACAATGGCGCTAACGGATCGTGGCTATCTTGATCGGTTTCGAAGCTACAGGGGGATTCTCAGATTTTGTACTTTTTGAAGATGTTCGATAGTTTGTTTATTTCAGCAACCACGGAAGAATGAATTATACATTCTAAAGGCTTATACATTCGTCAGACTTTTTTCGAACAAAATATTTTTTGAGATATTAACTATACTTATGCTTTTTTAAATAGAACCCCCTGTATATTTTTAAATTTTCTGATTTAGCTTGGCTTGGGCTTCTCGAAAATATATATCACTCTATATTTATTTTCACTATTAACCTCAACATTTCAATTTTTTCTTAAAATACCCACTTTAGATAGTAGGCCGCGCCGAGTAACAAAGTAAACGGTTGTCATGGTGATCGAAACATACCTTTGATGAATGGATATTTCATTTCAACAGATTGAAGTGTGTGTATTTTAAATAATAAAAAAATTTGTAAATTTGAAAATCTCGAGATATATAATATGTTAGAATGTTATATTGAGTCTAACCCTTGTCTAACAAACATAAGCAAATGGCAGCTGATTTATATTTTGAGCGGTATCCAGAGCGCGAGCAACCAAACCCAGCCATTTTTAAAAGGCTAGAAGATAGTTTAATCAATTTTGGATCTTTTCAAAAACCGTGTCCGAAAAATTATCAGAAAGAAGATGAATAAAATCAATATATTAATGTCCTCGGAGCCGAATACATGAATTAGTAATTAAATAAAATCGAATTATACGAAGCAAATAAAAAATAAGTCTGACAGAAACAAAAGAACATTTGGCTTAGAAAATACAATTGATAACATTCTCCATATAACTTTACATATAAAATAATAGCGATCTCCATTTCATAGGCATCGCTGACGCCGTTTTTTTTTCAATAATTATATTTTTAAGATGTTTTTAAGTTTATGACATTTTTTGTCTTCAAATGGTTATGCAACTAAATATACTTTTGCTTCCCTTTAAGTCATCTGTCACCTGTCAAAATTATGTCCACGTCATACTGTCATATGTACTGTCATACGTTATTTATTTATGTTCTGGATAAAATAAGTTAATTGCATTTTGTAAATGGTTTATTTTGTTTTTAAAAAATAGTTTGATATTTTATAATTCTCATGTACATTTCATGTTATAAGATATAATGGCGCTGTTACTTAAAGATATAAAACTAGGAGATAATATTGTAAAAAAAGTTTTGTTTGAGAAACACATAGATTTTATAAACGATTACGGTCAAGATGAAAACAACTATGATTACGGTATGACCGACTATCTGCGAGTGTCAGGCATGTATTGGGGCTTAACTGCTTTGGAGTTGATGAACAGTGAACCAGTACAAGGAAAAGATAAAATTGTTGAATATATAAAACAATGTCAGGATCCACAAAGTGGAGGACTTAGTGCATGCATTGGGCATGACCCTCATATACTTCATACCTTAAGCGCAATTCAAGTAAGTGCTATCTATGTAGATATATTTATTTTTGTTATATATCGAAGTAGATTTTAGTCATGTACGATAGACTAGCTGCAATAGATATTGAAGGCGTAGTCCGGTATATTCAAGGACTTCAACAATCTGATGGTAGTTTTGCTGGAGATAAATGGGGTGAAATAGATACCAGATTTTCATTCTGTGCTGTTAATGCACTGTCTTTACTGAAGAAAATGGATGTAATAGATATTGAAAAGGCTGTTGAATTTGTAGCAAGTTGTAAAAACTTTGATGGTGGTTTTGGATCAAGACCCTTATCTGAAAGTCATGCTGGTTTAATATATTGCTGTGTAGGATTTTTATCTATTACTAATAGGTAGGAACAACTGAATATTATATTACAATGAGTAATGTTTTTCTTTTAGATTAGATATAATAGATCAAGATACATTAGCTTGGTGGTTATGTGAAAGACAATTACCATCAGGGGGATTAAATGGCAGACCTGAAAAACTACCAGATGTCTGTTATTCATGGTGGGTTCTTTCTTCGTTAGCTATATTAGGCAGATTACACTGGATAGACACCGAAGCTTTAAAAACCTTTATATTTGCATGTCAAGATACAGAAACAGGTATGGTAAAGCAAAAGCCTTGAAATAAATACATAATTAATATTTTATTGTTTTAGGAGGCTTTGCAGATCGACCAGGTGATGTAGCAGACCCCTTTCATACATTATTTGGATTGGCAGGTTTATCATTATTAGGCTATGATAGTATACAAAAAGTTAATCCTACATATTGTATGCCACAACATGTAATTGACAAACAGGAATTAAAACCACAACGCTTGAACTAAAAATCTTTACCAAACAACTTGGTGAGTTAAGTATTTTTTTAAACTATTATTGTTTTATTTATTCAATATTTTATTTTTTAAAACTATTATTTAGCTACCAACTTTATATAAAAACAGAAAGATATAGTACAAGGTTTTTAAAAGAAACAATTTATTAGTTGTACATTTTGTTCCTGCACTTTTATTAAATGGAAAAAATAAAGCTATAAAAACTGTGTAAATTATTTTTACTGCAAAGATTATCCTTAATATCTGTAATTATCTGGTTTGAATGGCCCATTAAGTGGAACACCAATATACTTAGCTTGCTCTGATGTCAGTTTGGTTAGCTTAACACCCAAATGATCCAAATGTAGTCTAGCTACTTCCTCATCCAGAATCTTTGGCAAAGTGTGCACACCCACAGACAGTTGCTTTGGTTTGGTCCATAGTTCAATTTGTGCAAGGCATTGGTTTGTAAAACTATTAGACATGACAAAAGAGGCATGTCCAGTAGCGCAACCTAAATTTACAAGACGACCTTCAGCTAATACTATGATATGATTTCCATTGTCAAGCAGGTATCTGTCAACTTGGGGTTTGATGTTGACTTTTTCTTTGGCATTTTTCTCGATCCATGCTACGTCAACTTCACAGTCAAAGTGGCCAATATTACAAACAATACTGTCATTTCGCATATTAATAAGATGCTCTCCCTTAATAATGCCTGTGTTACCAGTAGTGGTTACAAATATTTGGCCTTCTTTGCTAGCTTCCTCCATTGTGGTTACTTCATAGCCTAACAAAATAAATATCAATCAGCACAAGAGTAAACCAATAGAAAAAATTACAACAATAACATTTTTCTTATTATAAGTTTATTGTTAATATTACAACAAAAGAGATTTCGAATCATTGTCAAAAACTCAAAAATATAAAATGAACTGTAATTTAATGTCAATATTTTGTTAACATGTTAAGTAATACATTAAATAAATTATTAAATGCTATTTTATATCAATATAAAAAGGCCAAAGTTGATATCACCACAGATTAGGTATCCTATAAGTATAATATCACTAAGTATACAGCATTTGTAATGTGAATATATTGTCGTGTTTTTGAAAAATATCAAAAATTATTATAAAAAAGTTGCATGAATAATCTCTGAATTTGTAACTAGTATTTTGTTAGTTAATTTCATTAATTAAAAATATATATAGAAACACCAAAAATTGCCATAATTATAAAGTAAAAGTTTAGAAAGGTAAGGGAATTAGAAAAGGGGAAAGTAACTTAAAACTAACAACGAAAATAATCAAAATAACACAACTTTGTTAAAGTTTTTAATGGCTATATTTATTTTGTTGTTTAGTAATTTTAGATCATTAATGAGAAAATATTTCCAGACTAATGATGGGTGCACAGCTTTGTTAGGGATTGCTATTTTAACAATGTTAAGTGGAAAATCTCTTTATATTATAGCATACATTTATAGGCGACTAGTGTATGACAATGACATCTTAAGAATTTTTAAACTCAAGAATAATAAATCTATTAAATAAATAAATAAATAAAAAAATCTATAATATGTTCCTTACATGGTAGATAATCTCCAAAAAAATCCTTTATGGGTATTTCGCCACTGCACTGCAAGAAAATCTACAAAATAAAATAGTTATTTTTTGTAAACACTTCTGCGTTAAACCTAAACGGACGCTGCTTGTCAGAAGTTATGTTTACAGTAATACAAATTTGCCTAACAACGAAAAAAATGCTTAACGTTTCGGAAAGTTACCTCTTTCCGTCGTCGGAACCAAAAAAATACAAAGAATAAAGAAAAAAACTATTTAAAATATTTAAATTCAACTATTCAAGAACACTTTACTTTTCTAAAACAGATACGTCTACAAGAAGCCGTTGACGTTCTGTTAAAAAAAATTTAACAGAGATCTGTTTTAAAAAAGTGTTCTCGAATAGTTGAATTTAAATATTTTAAATAGTTTTTATCTTTATTCTTTGTATTTTTTGGCTTCCGACGACGAAGAGATAACTTTCCGAAACGTTAAGCATTTTTTTCTTTGTTAGGCAAATTTGTATTAATGTAAACATAACTTCTGACAAGCAGCGTCCTTTAACGCAGAAGTGTTTATAAAAAATAACTATTTTATTTTGTAGATTTTCTTGCAGTGCAGTGGCGAAATACCCATAAAGGATGTTTTTGGAGAGATGAATCCGCCACATAGGTATAGACATTTTTTATGGTAGATAATACCACACAAACTAACTTAACTGTGATAATACTGATAATAATGTTTAATTAATAAATTCTCTTTAATGATTATACATCTGAATGTATTCTTTTGATAAATATAATGAATCTAGATAAAAATTATCTACCTGTGCTATGCTGTATATTGCTTACCTTCCATGGATGCTTGCAAAGCATTGATAGGATCAATTTCTGTTATCAGCACTCTGGCTCCAAAAGCTCTTAAAGACTGTGCACAGCCTTTGCCTACATCTCCGTAACCAGCTACAACACATACTTTTCCAGCTACCATCACATCTGTAGCTCTCTTTATGCCATCGATGAGAGATTCACGACATCCATATAAATTATCAAATTTACTCTAAAAGCATATAATTATGTTATAAGAAATTGTGGTTTTCAAAAGAAAAAAAAAACATGTACCTTTGTCACTGAATCATTGACATTAATAGCAGGAACTTTCAACCTCCCTTCCTTAAACATTTTATGTAAGTTATGAACTCCAGTTGTGGTTTCTTCACTTAAACCCAAACATTCTTCGAGATACTGTGGATATTTATCATGGACTAGGTTTGTCAAATCACCTCCATCATCGAGAATCAAATTAAATGGTTTTCCTATAAAAATGAGTAGTAATGATATTGTGTTGATGTGTTGGCAGGATTCAAACATTACCATCAGGGAAAATAAGTGTTTGCTCAATGCACCACAGAAATTCTTCATCAGTTTCACCTTTCCATGCATACACAGCAATACCTTTTTGAGCTAAGGCAGCTGCTGCATGATCTTGAGTACTAAATATGTTTGAACTTGACCATTTGACCTAAAACATTATCATTATTATACTTAAAATAGATTGAGAAATTATAATAATAAAGCTGGTCTATATTTAGTCTTTCTTTTTGTTGTAAAAATTTCAATAATAAAGGCTGAAGAAAAAAATAGTTAAATGATAACAAGGTTATCAGTTTAATCTTACTTTCCACATTATTATTGGAATAATGATGACACAGCTCTTTTTATGTAAAATTTTTAATATTTAAATTTTAAAATAAGAACGTTTATTTTTCTAATATTTAACTGATCTTTATTACCTCAGCTCCTAATTCAATAAGCGTTTCAATTAAAACGGCTGTTTGTATGGTCATGTGAAGACAACCTGCTATCTTGGCTCCTTTGAGGGGTTTTGTTTTTCCATACTTTTTACGAAGAGCCATGAGGCCTGGCATTTCGTTTTCTGAGAGACCGATATCCTTGCGACCCCATTCTGCTAATTTTAAATCGGCTAGAAATTGATTTATTTATTTGTTAAAGCCCAGAATATAAAAATAAGCATGCAAAAATGACTAAAGTAAATATTAAATTCTAGATGATAATAAATGAAAGGCAATTACCTACCAACTTTATAAGGAACTTTAGACATCTTTAGTGAATATTAAAAATAAAGTTTATTGATAAAAACGTTTAACAACGTTATAAAATTATTTTAATCCTAAATACCGGCCACTCACATGTACGAAAAATATTTTCTGATTTCAAAAAAGTGAGGTTATATTTATTGAAAAAAATCGGTAAAAATCGTGCTGCTTCGGTTGACACTGGCGACATCTTTTAGGTAACTGCGTTAAATGCTTCTTATAGAAATCTACATCTCCGTTTTCTGTATATACAGGGGGGTTAAACAATTAACAATAAGCTCATATATTTTATAATTAGTTTATTCGAAAAAAGTTATTGTATTGGTTAGTATGATCGAAAAAAACGACTTCATTTTATATGTAAAATTATATGGGAGTGACATGAAATTATATGAGGATTCCAAGTCAACTGAAGACCGTTTTTTTCGATCATACGGTATTTTCGGTTTAAAATATCTAAAATTAAGTTATGGTACAAAATATAAAATGAATATAAATCATACACAACTGTCAGATTGTAAAAACATTTTATTTTTTTGACAATACATTAATCAAATCTGATCAAATATAACAATGGTAAATTAAAAGGACCTTAAACGTTGATTCTTTAAATCACTGCGCGATATTCTGACTAGTTTCCGATGACACAAATTAATTTAAAAATTACATGACATCCAATCCGTTTCAAAAAATACAAAAAAAATAAACATAAAAATAAAATGCTTATTTATCCTACAAGATAGAGGTTAAAAGTAAATTATGAGTGGATCGTTTAAAACAGTACTCTGTCCAATAAATCGATAATCATCTAGAAACAATACTACATACAGCGTAAAAACAAAATAACATATTGCAAATAACGTGTTGCGTTTGCTAGCGATCTGATGTCCTTAGAATGTCATCTGATGTCCATTCGTTCTTAATGTAGATACTTTAACCAGACTACCAGAAAATAAAAACGAATTATTCTGTTTTTACCACATATGCGTTTCTCTAATTTCACTAATAATATGCGCAGCTCTCTGCAATGCCTGAAAAAAAAAGAAAAATTATTCATCTTTTATGATAAGAAATAAACCAATATGTGATATCGTCTAGAGGCTTGGTGCTTCGTCCGTGCTGCCACCATCGGAGAATACTGTAAACATCCCGACAACAAATACACCAAAAATTTGTTATAATATTTAAAAAGTGCAACTTGTGAAAATTCTAAAAAAAATCAAAATGTAAAGCTTTTGATATCTTCATGATATCAAAAAAAGTTTCTAATATTTTTTAAGTTAACTATGGATGGGTTTAAATATAAAACCGGCATGCGTCGTCTCTTGTTGTTTTTAACCAGTTTTATTGGTTTATTTTAAAGACAGATCATATTTCAATTTTACTGGTTTGATGGAACGATGAACGACAAACGGACGCCGATGCGTATGAACTCGCCTTTAGATTTTTGAGGCAGCCTCAAAAATCTAAAGGCAATCAATGAGGCTTGTCAAAGTCTTGCCAAATTATAGGTTATAATTTTGTGTCAACTTATGTCAAATACACGGCATTTTGGAAGATGATGCATTTTGATTCGTGTTATTACGTGTGTTTTGTGTCTTTTGAAGTCAAGTGGAGGAAAGATCAAGGGAAAATTAACTGTAGACCCAGAGCACAGTTTATAGTTAATATTCGGTGCTCAGGCAGAAAGTCTTATACACCAATAAAGTTACCATCAATAAAGTTTGTATACCATCTCGTCATAGATAAGTGCATCTCGTATATGGTACAAGGATCGTACTAAACATATACTAAAAACTGGAGTAGCTGTAAAATATATCTACATCACACGATAGGTAAATAATGGATTTTAATACTGCAGAAAAATAATGTCAAAGGGTACTGGTTTAAAAAAATTAAGATTAAAGTTAATTAATCAACCTTTAAGGTATAAAATTTGGTAAGTGTTATTATTAATAAAACAGTTTGTTTTATTTATTCCTGTGGAATATTACAAATTTGTATTTGTACATAAGTTATATTGATAAATATAATAATAAATGCGGGAAGTTCTTGAAGCTTAAAAATAAGAAATAGTTCTGTTTTATATTTTTTTGGTATGTGTTGTTTTGTTCTTGTTTGTTTTGTATTAACACATACCAATTGAAATAAAATAACTTCATTAGATTTTTTCAGTTTTATACAGTTTTTTTTCACAATATTTTGAAGTAATCACTTGTCACTAAAATTTTAAATATATTAATTTCCTGCTATGCGTTCCAATTGTACCAACTTATTTCTTTGTAAAATAAAATAAACTACTTTGAAATTTAAATGACAGACCATCTATCACTGTCAAGGATCTTGTTATTGGACATACTATATTATCTGTACTGTAACGAAATGTTTTAAAGGTATATAATTATAACTTTATAAGACGTTCACAAAGCATTTAAACACTAGTTGATTAAAAAGAAGTGTGCCATTAATATTGACCAAATTATATTATATCCTGATAGTATAGGCCTATTTAATTTTGATTGTGTAATGGGCAATGGGTTTCGATTACGATTTGTTTACTCAGTTGTTTCGTCGAACTGATTAATGTTGATTCCAACTGATTCCGTTTTTGCTTTTGATCATATCAAAGTGATAAAGCTGATAAGTTGTAAAATGTTGTCCCGGGAGAGTTGTATTGAACATTATTGCATCCTACAACCACGCAATTATGCTCTCCTTTTCGGGTAGACATTTTTCGGCAATTTTAATATTTGAAATTGTCACAACATAACGTGTCGCCTAATTTGGGTTCTTTTTTATTCAATTTTCACTACCCGAAACAGCGTTACATCACACAAACTCTGTACATAAACAAAAAACAAAAAAGAATTTTATAGTTTTGATAACTGCACTAGTAAAAATTAAAATACTTAAATATATGAGAAAACCATGATTTTAATATGATTTCAATGCGATCAACATAAACGACATAGATAAATGAAACAAGTTCTGATTGGAAAGTGCCCATAAGGACAATGTAAACACTAATTGGTGCTATTCTTGCAACGGTCGCGACCCAACTTTTGAAAATTTCGGAGCGATTCGGCTTTTTCCGGAATTATATCGACAAATATTATTTATTCAAATTTATTATTATTTTCTTTTCATTTTATAAATAAAATACAGTGTGTTGCATACAAGAACCTTTATTTTATATAAGGACATGTATGAAATACCTATGAAACACTGGAAACCGACGTTATGCCACGTTCCACGATGGTTTTTGCAGTTCACAGCACAGCTTTTTAAGTTTTTAATGCCACTTTTTCACAGTTATCACGGGTTTGAGTAAATAAAACTTAAATTAAACTCAAAATAGCAATAATTACCTTTAAAATGGACGCTTTAAACACTTTTCGTAATTTTTTCAATGAGAGTGGTTTAGATTTTGAAAGATTTTATAATTTTTGAAGATTCTGACCTTGACAACAGATATGGACAAGAGAACATTATTTCTGTTTATGTTTGCGGTTGTTCTTAGGAACCTATAGCAACCGCTATAGCAGCGCCAGATCGCGTACAACGGTCGAGATCCAAAATTTTGACAGGCATTCCAATTTAAATTTATTTCCTTTATGTATGATAAACGGTAATGGGACTGAGTAAAATACTTTAGTCCGGAACTTCGAATTTCTGCCGTATCAAGCGCTGCGGTCGGAACTTTTAAAATCAACTGAAATGCATCAATCCTATAAGAATTGTTTATCTGTCATCAATTAGAATGAGTTTAATTGCTAAAAATGTCTTTTAATTCAAAGCAGTGCCAGAAGTTATGCGACGTTAGAAGATGCGAATGGATGGAAGGGTAGTTGTATGTTCCATGTAAGGGCATAAAAATCTATTGCCCTACAATACTCATTCTCGCCGATTCGAAGCCAGATGAGATCTAATATTTCGTGAGTCAGAGTCGATCTAAACACTCAACAAGTCATATATGCCATTGACAATAATTTAGGCGAGGACCGCGGTTCGGATTCCGCGTAAACAAAGTGGGCCTCCACCAGATTAGCATTAGCAGCAAAAAAGAGACGTTAACTCAAATCTACATTCATAAAAAGTATTATTATTAATATTATAAAAGTACACTACCTTTAACATGTCCCCAGCTTCTTTACGCCTCTGTGCGATATGCTCGGATTCATCTAACAATTGATCTGCATTATCGGCCTTGTACAGACAAGTGACGAGTTCAGACTGAAGATTATCCTTTACAAAGTTTACCAGGAAGTGCATTATGGCTTTAGGTACTGTATCCTGAATCGATTTCCTTACAATGTAGAAGTACGATTTAATCAGACGTTCTATAAAGAAATATTAAATAATTCGGTAAATAATACAATCTATTTTTACTGCGGTATTCGAAATTTAATACAGTATAATCCCTTTTTGACCAGTCACTCTAGATGATATTACTATTGTACGGGTGCATCTAAAAAGTGGCTCACCCCTATAACTTTTTGGCATAATTTAGGATTGATTGACGTATTCAATTGTTTTTGGTCACTTCCTGTTTCACCGGAAGTAACTACAACTTTTGATTTTTAAACGGCACCCTCGGAATTATATTTTACTTTATTCAATAGAAAATGACATTCTGAATAGAATGACATATCATATGTCAGCTTTTGACATTCTCGCTTAATAAAAAATTGTATTTTAAATTTCAATCTAGAGTGCCATGGCTATATTAAAAACACTAATTCTTAATCAAGAAGCATTGGAAAAATAGATTTGATCATCTAATGTTTTTAGTCTCTTGTCCTGGCCAGTTAAAAGATTCCAAAATCGTATTTTAATCATATCTCAATTTTTTCAAATGGAACGAGAGTGGCTCATTAGCATTTTTGGAATAAGCGTTTTTTTACAAAATGTCTAAATACATGAATAGCATTATATTTCTTCTTTAATCTTTTTCTTCAAAGGGTATAAATATAGAGATATATAATAAAGAGGAATTGTACTTGCCAAAAAAAATAACTTAATATTTCTACCTATAATCTCGCAATCGTGTTCCTCATTTGCTGACAAAGACCTGTAGCTGTTGCTGTTGATAGGGACTTGGGGTAGCAGATTGACTGGTTTATCCGGACTGAGTACTGATCTAATATCTGGTTCTGGTTTCCCATCGAATAATTTGTTCGCGTGGTTCAAGTCGTTTTCTTTGGTACCGTTTTGTTGAGGAGTTGTTAAACTAGACACCCAGCTGGTTGCGTCATCGTTTAGCTGAGGATTGCTGTTGGACCTAGCCTGAAAGAGAAATTTAAAAGTTTCATGTAATGATAAACTTGAGACTACGACTGCAAATGAATATGGAGATTTTTATATAACCGATGATCTCTGTAAACGTTTCCAACCCATATTTTACACATGTATTACAGTCAGTATTAAAAGGTATGTCTATTTTGATATACATCGATTTAGTTAGATTTACACAAGTTCTGTCTGTAACAAGGCTATATCTGTGGCTATATGATATAGTGAGAGATGTCTGTCGATTTACAATTTTTTAGATGTTATACTTATTTTGATGAAATGTTTTTTTTTATATACCACCCGTTCATAAAAATATTCCAGGATCAAATTTAAATACAAATCTCAATGTTTTAGGTTAAAGAACATTTTCAAGGTGAATATTGTAGAACACGAAATGTGTTTAGAATTTGATGTAGAATCCAAAAACCGCAAGAGACAGTTCCATTCAAAAGTTATTGTAATATCGGTTCCGCATGCCTTTTCCTAATAAAAATATTCTGACGCAATAAGGATCTTTCGTATACAAATGTATTTAAACACCTCCAATTGACAGCCATTTTGGGTTAAAACGGAAGAACAGTAAAAAAATGGTTTAAAAAGAAAGTACATTTCCAAATATTCTTGTCCTAAACCATTCCGATTTGTATCAAAATCAGATAATAAAATACTTTTAATGAATGGGTTCCCTGAAAAAATTTCTATATAGGATGTCCCAATATTCCTTGGTTCTACTACGTATTTTTGAATCAAAAGAAGTTCATTGGACACGGTTTACCTGTATACATATAAAAGTGCTTCGTTCTTGTCCGTTAAAGGGCATCAAAAAATTAAACATATTTTTTGAGATATTTTAAGAACAGCTATTCCGACTTGAATAAGATTTGGGGTTCCTATGTTTTGCTAAGCGCTTTAACTAAATAAGAAAAAGTACGGTAATGGTAACTACCCAACCACAACATAAATTTTAGTAGAAATATTTTCCAACTCCACCTATAACTGATTTTTAGCCGACCATACCAACAGGTATGATAGGCTATTAAGATCGGCAAAAAAAAAAGTTTTTTTAATTTCACTCAAAATGATTTATTTGGGTCATAAATGACCTAAATACAAAATATTTTCATGCTGTCTGTCTGTCCGTCTGTAACACGGTAACTCAAAACCCGCTAAACCGATTTTAACCAAATTTGGCACAAAAATACTGTGGCACCCGAGAATCTGGTCATTAGTTTTTGGTGGGGGTGGGGGGTTGGTAAGGGGGTATGGGAGGGGTGTATGGGAGGGGGTTAAGAATTTAAGCGAAACGCGGTTTTCAATTTAAGATTAGGAATAATATTTGCAACAAAATTTGTAATAACATCAAAATCAGTCAAAGTCGCAGTTTTTGAGATAAAAAAAATGGAAAAATTCCTTTACTTTGAAACTAAAAGAACTGTTTTTGCCAAGTTGACTTACAAAAAATATTTTTGGGGCATAAAATCTACTATGCGCTAATAATCTAGTTGGCGAAAATAGGGAATGTTATGTTAGTATCACAAATGATCTTTGACAATAAGCTTCATAAATTTTAAATTAAGTACCGTAGTTTGGGGCGAAATTGATAACCGGGGGCGAAATTGATAATTACATGGTTTAGTCACATTTTTAAATTTAGCGCCAAATTTATGCAACTAGAAGCAGTGGTGTGCATCAGTCTTGTTTAGTAAAGCTTTGATGACAAGACGTATGCAGTCGGGTGTGCCATTTTTATCTATTTTTTTGCAAAAAACGCGGTTAAAATTTTAATTTTAGTTAATTAATTTTAACCTACGGTAATGTTAGGCTTTATTTTTGATTGGTGCCCTCTAACGGACAAACGGAGCACTTTTGTATAGAGGTAAACTATGTGCAATTAACATATTTTGATTTAAAAAATACGTAATTGTACTATGTCCACAAAATATTGGAATTACCTGTATATTTAGTAGGTCTGCTTTGGAAAAAATCTTACTCAAAAAATATGCAATGTGGCGTTTTTGTACAAAAGACAAAATGTAGTAAATACTAGACGGAGATGAAAAAAAAATCAGTCGTCGGTAGAGTTTTAAAATATTTTTACTAAAATTTATGTAAGAGAGGGGGTAGTTTTCACCCATCCCTACTTTTTCTTGTTTTTTTTTTATGTGAAAGTCAAATGTTAAAGTGCATAGCAAAGTAAAGGCACCCCAATTCTCATTGAGTTTGGTATAACGGTTCTTATATTTTAAAACGGTTAAAATATTTTAATATTTGAAAAAATGTGTAAGTGTAAAAATGTGTTCTTAAAAGTTTGATACCCGGACGGGTACCTAACGGACAAACAAAGCACATTTTAGAGGTAAATTGTGTCTACTCGTAAGGTACTTATTTTTTTCAAAAATACGTAGTAGTTCTATGTCCGTCGAGTATTGGGACACCCTGTATACACAAGTTTTAAGCAACGTCCATAAATTGTCTAAGAGAGTTAAAAACTCCAATTTTCTACATTATATTTTTCAATAAAATATTAGCCCAACCTTATATGTATCCATATTATTTGAATATAAATTGATATTTGATATTAATTATTATCATATTATTATAATTTATCTATATCCTAAAAGAATCATATGTATATTCTAAACTATAAAAGATACCTGTTTGAAAAACCTATCTGAAAAAATGGATTTTCATGTAAAAAAAAACATTTGTTGTAATAACAGTAATCATGTCATAACTACAATATGATAAAATAAGTTTTATGATCAAGCGGTATTTCACTTTTACGGTTAAAACACTTCTAATGTAAATTTCCCATTAAAATATTTTTTTATAAAGCCCATAGTTGCAGTATTTATGTTGAAATGATGAAATGAGAATATTTTTCAAATTTACCTCTGGCTCTTTTTCTTGTCTCGGCAAAAACATGCTGGAAAACACAGACTTACTACGTGCACTTTTAATCTAAAAGGAAGAGGTTAATACAGGTTAAAAACACATGTATGAAAATATCTGTTATCCCTCATGAGACAATACCACATAAACAAAAAATATGTAAAAGCCAAGGTAGACACTAAAAATAAAAAAAAATCGAGATGAAAATATCAGTTAGTTTCATTTATAAATGTTTTTACTAAATGAGAACAAACCATGTTAAAAACTGGTTCATAAACTGGCCTGTGTACCTGAACAATTCTCATGAACTCATTATAATTTGACATCGGTAAAATTCTAAAGAGATAGTTAAAGAAATCGGCTGGCTCTTCAACAGTTGGCACGGGATTATGAGATTGTGGTATCTACAGAAAACAATAAATACGCCTTATTGGTCAACATTTAGTAAAATATCCTTAAAGTAAATACGAGGGTTGTCTTTATATTTTGCATATAGAAATATAGTAGGCGCCTGTCAACATATTTTAATACATCAAATGTCAAAATTAACTGTCATCTTTAGTTAACTTAGTATCAAAGTTTTAGACCGCTTAGAGTCAATTGGTGTCCAACAACTCCACACCGATTTAACGCAGGAAACTCACAAAACTATATATACAGTATTGTCAGTGGTGTTGAATCCTGGATTTACTATTATGAACCCGAAAATAAACGTCAATCGGCGGTTTGGATGTTCCGAGATGAACCAAAACCAACGAAAGATATTCAATCTCGAAGTGTTTCAAAAAGATGGTATTGACATTTGTCTCAAAAGCGGGTCATGTAGCAACAATCCCGCTCCAAGCTCAAAGAACTGTTACTGATGATTGATACATATATGATTGATACATATCTATTTGTTTGCCAGAAGTAATTTCTGAGTTTCGAAAAACCAACCCTCAACGACAAGTTCCCACAGCTCTAAAAACTATCGAGTTTTTAAAACAAGAAAACATAGAATTATTGGACCACCCTCCATACAGTCTTGACCTAAGTCCTAACGACTTTTTTACTTTTCCAAAAATTAAGAAAGAACTGCGTGGTTAAAGGTTCCGATCCCCAGAAGATGCAGTCGCATAGAGGTGGGAATTCCAGTTCCTTAGGAGGAACTAGTTCCTTAGTTCTAGTTCCTCCAGAGGAATAGTACCTTGAACTAGGTTCACAATAGTTCCCGGCTCACATTGACATCCCCGTTGCTTGCTAATGGGGTTCGCTGTCAGTCAGAACTACTCACAGTATGATCTGTATAATTTTTATAATGTACGAAATAAATCGAGCGTTGTAATTGCGTATGTTAAAGACATATATGTAGGTACGTTTTATTGCAGATAAAAAAAATTAAAATAGAAACTCAAATCATAGTTTAAAAACTATATCACAAATCAATTGAAGCAAATAATACAAATATTTTACGAAAAATTGCATTTTTCCTCACTTCAAACTTTTTGTTTTCTTGATTTTTTTGAATTCCTCTCAGACCTTTCGGTCCGGGACAGGTAACATACGACTGGCACTCCCCACTCCTGCCTAGCATCGGGTTATGATTGCGCTGGCTGATCCGTCGCCGTCGGCCGTCCCCCTTTGCCATCGCATATTTTTATATATCGATCACAGTCTCGATCCAGAAATAGGTCCTGAGGAACTAGTTCTTTGAGAAACCGGGAACTAGTTCCTTTCATTCCGGGGTCGGAGGAGTTCATTGGAACTAGTTCTTTCACGAACTACACACCTCTATGTCAGCGCCTTCAATTTTGAAGGTACCAATAAGCGAGTGGAAAAACTGCTTTCTGAATTGGTTCCAACGGATGTAAAAATACATTTCACTTGTTGGAGAATACTTCGAAGAACAATAGTGTTTAAAAATTATCTACTGTTTTTTCTAACTCTGTGTTCAAAATATAAGAGACAACCCTCGTATACTACGATAAAAAAAAGACATAGCTCGCCACCATGCACTCGACATTTTATCCTCTAACAAACACAGTTTCTGGCGACAAAAAAGCTTAAGTTGCATATACCGAATATCGTAGGTAAATGTTGCTTCCTCGCCCGGAGGAAAATCGATATATGGGCGTATATACACTTATTATAGTATATCTTGCGGACGTCTTTTAAACCATGTATGAATCCAAAAATAAGTGCATATGTTTGTCACACTGAGTAAAACTATTTTTTGCCTACTTCAGGATAATTATTCATTTTCAATGTAATTGAAAAGACATTTATCAGAGCGTACATATATCCTAAATAAATATCTGATAAAGCTAAACAAAGTAACCAAACGTATTACAAACAACACATAAACTTTTACCATCATCAACAACTATGTCATTCTACTTCATATAAACGTTAACGGATTAAATGACGTATTAGTTCGGACAATAATATTAAGATATTTTATTAGCACTAGCACTGACTCATATAAAAGTCATTTAATAAATATAGTAATTTTTGATAAATTGGCCAATCTACAAAATAAGTTTTCAACATAAAATATTGCTGAAAATATATGAAAAACTCTCAATACCTACCAGTTCTTGTGGTTCTGCCGGATATTGCTGCAGTTGTTTGCCGAACATGCTCTTGGGTCGGTTGGCGGGCCTGGACGGCTCTCCCGATTTGATCATAGAGGGCACTGCGGCGATATCTTTGTAAAAGTCCGGATGTTTGGTGTTGATGTACGCTAGTTCAATGGCCACCAAGTTCTCCACCATAACGTTGGTCGTAGGTAGACGCCTTCTGAGAAGATGCGTCACTACATCGACGATGCTTTCGTACAGTTTCGGGAATCTGAGCATTTCTTGTTGTACTTCGCTACCGCAATGCTAAAGAAATCGATTGATAGTACTGTTTAAATGCGCCAATACATAAGGCGAGTATTTCCGAAATATGTATGTGAAGCCAATATTGAGAGATAGAGAATGAATTAAAAAACTATAGAGCCATTTATGAATTTTAAAATTAATTTTGTAACCATTTTATTATGATCGTGTATATTGTTAGTAAAAAGTTGGAAATAAAATATTGGAAAAAACAACATAGCATAGTTTTAATTAAATTTTTAATTTAAAAAATATTACATGATCCTTTTTTTAACCAAACATTAACTCATAAGATGTTTCTTTAAAAAATGGTTAAAGTATTTCGGATCAGCTAATTTAAATATTTTATACTATTTATTTTTTCATTCATGCATCTGACGATTGAGAGAGATTTTTACCATTTTGAAATGTAAAAGGATTACTGAGAAAATTGTCTTCGTGAATTTCAAATCCGCTGGCTTTTTACAAAAAAAAATGTATTTTACTTGTCCTCAGTTTATCGTACATTACTAGTCAGTTTGTTGGTTTGTTTAGGTGAATAAATGTCAAAGAAGATATAAATTGATAATGTAGTAAATAAAAACAATGAGAAGAAAAAATTCAATATCTAATCAATGGCATAAAAAATAGCATATATAATTGATAGTGTAATTTATAACTGTCATAAATGCATTTTTATTGATCAGAAAAACACTGTAGTTAGATAATAAGTTATTAATGGCACAGACATTTATAATACTTTATTTTCAAGACGAAGTGTAGTTTAAACATCGTTTTTTTATGTTAATTTTTATAAGAACTTTCATTCTCTCTAAATTTTCTTCTGAATTTACTCAATGTAGAAAAAATATGTAGAGATAAAAAAAATGTCTTCAAAATCATACGGAGAATAAAATAATTATGGGGAAATTATGAATGTGCAGTAGCTGTTTAAACAATTTGCTGTTTAAATAATCTTTATAAACTGTTTTATTAAGTATATAAAGAAATAACTTTATATGAAAGTGCTAATAACTAATAACTCATAAAAAATATTATCAAACCTAAATATTATCGTCTGGAGATTTTGTTGCCCTTATTGCAGTTTAAATTTTATCATGTACACTAAAATATAAACTAAAGAAAACTACTAATGATTAAATTCAATGCTTGAATGGGACTGAAACAAACAGAAACGACATTCTGGTACATTCCAGCTGAAGCACTGAGTAAAACTCATACCTAGTCATGAGTATATTACATACCTGTATTATTCTTTGCATTTCTTCATGAATTAACTCGACACAACGAAGAGACGGTTCTTCGAGCCGGCGAATCTGTCTCTTCACTAAGAGTTCAAAAGACACCTCGGGAACAAATAGAGCGGGTCGAGGCCCATTTGCGTTTCTATTAAAACCAAAATATACTACATCCATGTAAAAAGTAACATTTTTATTACCTAATAGCAGTTAGAATATCCATTTTAGTTAAACCAGCCAAAGGGTGTATCGAATCCAGCGTCCTACCAAATGTTTCATGGAAAATGTAACATATCCTCGCTCCTCCGCAAAGCTCCGTGGTCTCGATATTTCTAGCAGTGCCTTCAATCGTTGAACAATACGCAGTAGCAAACTTTGTTATAATTTGTAACAAAGTTTTGCTTTTGTCCGATATGTCTTCACCGTAAGAACTGAGCAAAGACTGAAACTGGGACATCATTAAATTTACTCTCGTTTTCAAGTCGGGGAGGCAATCTCTAATATGATGCATCAGCAGTCTGTTTAATGTTTTTGCTAAGTACGGTGTGCCATTCCTTGCCGCTAATGTTGGATACTTGCTTTGAAGGTATGCAGCTTCGTCTTTCAGGGAATCTTTTATGCTTTTGTTGTTTAGAATGTCTTGCTGAGATCGATTTACGACCCCAATAATGCCAAGCTTCACAGGAATTACTCTACCACAGAGGATATCAATGGCATCAGTACCTAAACAAAAGTATTGTAGGTATACTTTCCAAATAAATACAAATTGAATCTAAAGTAATTATTGGGATGAAATGTATTAAATATATTTATTATTTAGATGTTAATGATAATTTGCGCAAGTAATTTTAAGTAGTTAACATTTTCCGCTGTAGTTATATTGGCTCAAAATACGTTACAGGGAGATCCAGAGCACTGTATGTCTCCTTTACTGACCAAAATGATAAAGATTGTGACTAGTCTGTACGGCAGAACGTTTTTACGGCAAGTCTGCGATTTAATATTTTAATAGATGATTTAAATACCTTCGAGATGGAATTTGAACAAACTTTTTTTACATTTAGATAAAACTGCGTTAGTTATTATAAATTGTTATATTTTACCTGACATGTGCAAGGGACCCATTATTTTATTCATAATTAATAAGACAAAATGAAAATGAAGCAACTAATACTTCAAAAATAATATGATATAGCAAATATATGGCCGTTTTACTAGGCGTATATCATAGAATCAAACAACTTATTGCCCTGCAGAGTTTATAAATTTTGTAGGGACCAGTTAGACATACTATAATATTGTAAAATTCTAAAATTGAGAAATTGGCGCTTATCAAAGTTATTCCCATGGACCTTCCATTTTTAAATGACAAAGATTGAAGAAAGAAATTGCCCTTTAAAAAGAAGCGACGCGACGATGTTACATTTCAAATTTGAAGACATAATGTATAAAATTTTCTACATTAAGAAAAGCGAAGTATAGAATACAAATCGACGAAGCTAAAAAAGTGTCAATAAATTCATCAGGGACGTGCATATAGGTTATCACTGGAATATTTTTCAAAAAAAACATGTGCGCCACTGACTTTTTTTCTTTGGGTATCAAAATTGTGTAGATCCTTTAATGCCAATTAAAAGTTGTCTCTTGGTATTTTGTAGATTTCGGCCTGCTTGATGAAATAAACGCAATTTAAACTGCTTACACTATTTCGATAACAAGAGAAAAAAGTCAGTGGCGCACATGCTTTTTTTTAAATATTCCAGTGATAATCCATATGCACGTTCCTGATGAATTTATTGACATTTTTTTAGCTTTAAAATATGTCGCATTTGTAGTAACTTTTAGCCTCAAAATTTCATTAGAAACGCTAAAAGTACTTGGAAGAAAATTATAATAAATCGAAAAAATATTAAGACTTTAACACCCTGTAGCTACGAAACAAAGCAGAATCGGACCTATGTTGATATGAAAAATTAGTCTAATTTTTACGTGAGGAATCTCCCCACGAGAGATGGCACATGTTTTTTGAAACACCCTGTATATGTTAAGTTTTTTCCAACCACTGTTACCACTTCAGACAAATTAAGAAAAATACAGATCAGAGTAATTTATTATTAATATATCATTAAATAAACTATATTTTTGTTAAATCAAAAGAATAAAATTTAAATAATAAAAAATGTCTAACATTTATGGTATCATTGGATAAGTATAACTTTACTTATCTACAAAAAAATGTTTATTTGCAATTAAAATATATAATTCATTTTCTTTAAACGTACGGTCTCCCGCTGGTGCTAAGAATTGTGTGAAAAACAACTTGATAAAGAAAGCATTTTATTTGCTTTCAGAATTTTTCACGGATAAAGATAGAGAAAATTTGTAAAATTTATCTAAATAAGACTTTATTTAATTATTGAGAATTATTATCGAATTTTTCTTTTTTATAGCGTAACAATTTAAAAAGAAAGGTACTTCTTATTTACATATATAGATAATAATGCTGCTGCTATATGCAGTTTTTTCGTTTTAAATATTAGTGTTTTTTTATTAATTTTAAGATTTTCTTTGTAATATAGTAGTTTTCAAATATTGAAACATGTTCCATAGGTCTAATCAACCTTTTGTAGCTTAGAGTAAAATGTAAGTTATTTGGAACAAATAAAGTTATACATACATTAATAAAAAAAAATATTAGAAATACTTTACCAGCATCCATGAGATCAAGCTTAGTAACAACAGCTAAGGTTCTGCGTCCATCTGGATCAACATCTTTAGCTATAGCCAAACTCTCAGACGTCGCCATATCTGTGTTTGCAGTTACCACAGCTAAAATAATTGAATTAGGATTGGCGGTGTACTTTATAACTAATTCTCGAATCTGACGCTCTATATCTGGTGGTTGGTCACCTACCGGGACCTGTAAATAGGTTAAAGTTTATCTTACACGGTAGAAACAAATTTATTATATCCAAAATACCTTTGTTATTCCTGGTAAATCAACTAAAGTTAAATTAACAACTTTGGAGGAATATATCTTAAGATTAATCGGTTCAGGACAGATGCCCTTGTTGGTTCCTGCAGCTCGGTTCGTTTCATCTTCAATTTCTTGCCGGATAGCATCAAAATTTTTGAAAGTTTTATCTTTAACATGTAGAAAAACTCCCCATTCTTCTACATCTACAGTACCTAAAACATAAAATAGTTTTTTAAAGTACAGTTTTATTATTTATTAACGGAACAATAATAATATCTATAGAAATTTAATTAATTTCATTTTGTTTAACCAATAAGTTTTGACATACTTACCATCTTTGGCATTCCGATGTTCCTTGTCTTCTTTTGGACAATAAACTAACTGTAAAATTAAAGGTCTTCTAGTAACAATACCAGTTCCTCTTGGTAAAAAGCTTCTTCCTACCAAGCTCTCAATAACTGAACTCTTGCCAGAACTCTGAAATATTAAATGAATTGATTTTATAAATACTATTGTAAGCTATCACATTAACTGGCAAATTTACGTGATGAATAATACAAAGAAAAACTGAATTAAGTTTTAAAATATAGAACATGTTATACCGCAAAAAGGGGTTATGTCATTCATAATTACTGCTAGGAATAAAAACTTTACCTGAGAACCCAAAACTACAATTTGTGGCAAATGAATTGCATCTGATCCTACTGTATTGAATACGTCTTGTAATTTATTAACTACTGGAATAAGGGCCTCCATGATTTAAAATTAGATCCACTACACTGTTCTAAAAATATCGATTGGTGTTTTATTTCAAACTTGTCTACTTGAACACAATCATTTACACATTATCATTATTTAATACATTTTAACGTTTGTATTCTAGTTCTACTTTCTAACTGAGTCTCTTTGTGAGGAAACAATAATTTAATTTTTTATCACTAATAAATATGAGTTTTTTGTTCTTTAAAACTGACAGTTGAAGTTACGCCTGCATTATTGGTTGCATAAATATAGAATTTATTTCACACCCTTGGTATATTTTAAGTTGCCTACATAATAAGAAAATGTATAAATTATTTTGAATTATAAATAAATTTATCTTTAAAGATTAGGTCAAAGTTCCTATTATTGTTAAGCTATATAGAAGTATAATAAACAAGATGTTGCTGAAGAATTTTTACAAACTTGTGCTCAGAAGTAAAGGCCCTATAAATTCAAACAGAAATGTGGAAACTGCCGCACACTCGATTAAAATTTTTGAAAAAATCAAACAAAAACGACAAGAAGCTTTGCGTGGGGGTGGTTTAGAAAGAATTGAAAATCAACACAAAAAGGTAAGAAGATAAATACAGATCTATTTACACTTTTACAAATAATTATAATGTGTTTATCAGGGAAAGCTAACCGCTAGAGAAAGAATAGATTTATTTTGTGACGATGAAAGTTTTGTGGAGTATGATATGTTTATGGAACATACTTGTACAGATTTTGGTATGGATAAAAGGAAGGTAAGATACTTAATATTTATAACATCGGTAGGTATATCTAAGTAAATGACTGTAAGATGTTTCTGGATATTACTTAATACACGCTTTTTTATAGTTTCCGGGTGATTCAGTTGTAACTGGTCACGGACTAGTAAATGGTAGACCAGTTTTTATATTTAGCCAGGATGCAACGGTTTTCGGTGGTTCTTTATCAAGTGTCCATGCCAGAAAAATATGTAAAATTATGGATCAAGCCATTTCTGTCGGTGCTCCGGTGGTGGGATTGAACGATTCCGGCGGAGCACGTATTCAAGAAGGCGTAGAATCGCTGGCTGGATACGCAGATATTTTTCAAAAAAATGTCCTGGCTTCCGGTGTTATTCCGCAGGTACGAAAATAATCGATGATTTTATTTTTTTTTGTTGTAAAAAAATGTTTTAGATTTCTTTGATCATGGGACCTTGTGCAGGAGGTGCTGTTTATTCGCCGGCCATAACGGATTTTACGTTTATGGTTGAGGATACTTCGTGCTTGTTTATTACTGGTCCTGATGTAATTAAAGTAAGTCTGTTACAGTAACATGCATAAGCATATTATGCGATCTATCCGTGCAGTAAATAGCTTTTATTACAGATGATCAGCGGCTAAACTTCCATTGATGCGGGTGATGCGGCGCATATCCCTTATTCAAAATGTTGTAATACGTTTTATTTAAAAAAAGTTACTGAGATCTCCCTGAGATAATATTTTAAAATTCTCAGTAAATTTATTCAAATAATTGAATTCCATTTCAATTATTTGAATAACTAAAAACAAACTAATAAAATAACTCAAAATATATTTCAATGGCCCTATCATCATCAACCAGCCTGTGGACGTAGACCTCCCTCAAATCTTTCCACTCTTCTCGGTCCTGTGCCACTTGGATCCAGTTTCCTCTAAATCTCAGTCATCTGGCCATCTTGTCGCAGGTCTGCCTCTTCCTCTGAGAGCATCCTGCCGCCGCCCGCCATTCTAGTATTAGCGTGATCCATCTATCGTCCGTTCTTCTGGCAATATGCCCAGCCCAGTTCCATTTGAGTTTTTTAAGCAGATATAGGTATATCATCTGTTATTCGAGTACGCTGTTTTATAACTGTATTGGGTATCTTGTCTCTTAGATATGTACCAAGCATTGCTCTTTCCATAGCTCGTTGGGCTACACGGATTTTTTCTATGGACTTTTTCGTCAGTGTATGCGCCATATGTAAGTACTGGCATAACGCACTGATGGAACACGTTCCTCTTTAAGCACATTGGGAGTTCTGACTTTTACACATATCTTAGTTTTCCGAATGCTGCCCATATTAGTCCTATTTTTCTTTGTATCTCGCGTGTCTGGTTATCGCGATCAATTGAAGGGGCCAATGCAAAATGTGCCTAAGTCACGAGCAAAATGTGCCTAAGTTTTCGAGAAAAACCCCTTTGAAGTTTTCTTTTCTTTCTGGAAATATTACCTTTGCTAATATTAAGTTGATTTTTTCACACATAATATTTTATTACTATTACACTGAGTGGCTCTAACTGAAATTAAAATTAGTGGGGTACATTCTGAATTAATTTTTTTTTTTTTGAAAATGGACTTAGGCACTTTTTTCTTTGGATTTTATGAAAGTTTAATAAAAACGTCAAAGATTTTTAAAATATTTTCATTTTTAATATTAAAAGATACACAAATAGATTAAGCAACCACCAATTTATCCATAGATATCAGCGTCGGAGTCTACGTTTTCATCCGTTTGATTTTGTAAAGCATCACGTGTAAATGTTGCATTATTTTCGGTTAGAGTTCTTTTGAAAAATTCTGTGTCTGATGTTACAAAGCTAAGCAGGTGCTTAACGTTCTGAAGCTTAGCGATTTTTATTGACAAGTAAGACTCTCCATACGCGAATGTTGGCATTCCTGGTATAAGTCGATTTTGGCCAACTTTATAAAGTTTCATGTCCGTTCCTTCACCATGACAAGTTTCTTTCATCTTTGGGCGATCTCCTTTATAAAACTGTGTGCACATGGCATTTGAAATTCCAGGAAGAGAAGGCTTAAGATGTGGTGGAAGCCGTCCCTTAAAATCTTTTATTTTAATAATACGGTCACCTTCTTTGAGCTTGCCATCTCATCTCAACGAACGCTGGACAAAAACACACTGGACAGCTGGAGAGTATTCTTCTTTTTACAGTTTGCAATCAAATTGACGTAGAATTCTGGATTGTCAACTTTCTCAGTTTTCAGTTTCCTTTTTTTCAATTAGACCGAAGTCTCGATCTATGGGCATCATGCTGTGACCAGGAACGGGGTATAAAATTTGTATGTTCTCAAAAACACCTTTCAAACAAAGCTGATCAAGATACAAAAACATGCCAAAAAGACAAACGAAAACTATGCCAAAAAAATACTATGCCATTGGACTAAGGCGCTTTTTAAAATGAAGTAAAACATTTAAAATACGAAGAAAATGCGCTTAGGCACTTTTTGCATTGGTCCCTTCAATTGTTATTTCATAACAATTGATTTTCGAACATATCGAAATTAATTAAATCAAATTGTTTAAGTGATATGTTCAAAAGTCGATAACTCAGAAACGGTTGGTTTCAGGTACATTTTGTGTATTTCAGTTTTTGCTTAGAATTAAAGAAAGCATTGAAATATGCAATAATGTACAGGGATTATATTCTATTTAAAAAAATGAAACTTTGATGTGCCACGACTTTATGACCGACCCTGTATACATAAATTTATTACTAGCCAATAGAACTTTAAAAACCCTATAATTTTTGTATTTAACTTTTTGCGTTTCCATACATATAACAGCTACCCTGTATATTCTAATAGTGCTATGAAGAATTTGGGGGAAATGGACTCTTCTGTATTAAAAGAGGAGTACGACAATGGCCCTATGAAATCCAGTAAATATTTTTAAAATTATATGCCACCATTGCCTGCATATATTTTGTAAATGCCTAGATACATGTTTTGTTTTTATTGTAAAAATAAAAAATCAGAAATTAACATATGTATTGAGAAAAATACAGTTTATGATATTTTAGTCCGTTACTAATGAAGACGTGACGTCACAAGAGTTGGGTGGGTCAAAAGTTCATACAGAAGTGTCTGGAGTGGCACACAGATCCTTCGAAAATGATATTGATGCTCTTCTACAACTTCGCGAGTTTATGGGATTCTTGCCACAATCTAACCAAAGTCCCGTTCCTATTAGAGCATGCGACGATGCATGGTAAATTCTGCTAAATTTAATAATAAAAGCGTTAAATTTAATAACATTATATTTACTATATTTTTTTTAGTGATTCAGATGTTCCAGTTTTGGAAACTGTTATTCCTCCAGTAACAACAGCGCCCTACGACATGCTCGATATTATTTTAGCTATAGTGGATGAGAGAGATTTTTTCGAAATAATGCCAAAATATGCTAGAAATATAATTGTCGGATTCGCTAGAATGAACGGGAGGACAGTTGGTATAGTAGCTAATCAACCAAAAGTAGCAGCAGGTAAGTGAAGCTTGTAGAATGTAATCAATTTTTGTCAGTTTTCATTCTACTGTAAAGCCGGTACGAAAAAAGTTAGCCAACTCGCAGCTTACAGACTATAATAAACAAAACATTAGGAATATACAGGGTGTCCCAGAAATAAGTGCAAGTATTTTAAGGGGTGGTAGATCTCGATAAAAGAAACATATTTTCTCTTTATCGTTTTTCAAATAAGTTCCAAATAAGGAAGTTATTTTACTTCGAAATAATATGCGTAATAATATGCGTAATTCCGAGCGCAATTCCAAAAAAAAATGATTTTTTGCTAAAATTTTGAGAACCACTAAATCATTTCTAGATTTTCTTTCTTGTAAATTTAATCTAATACCTATGTTACCATATTCTCAAGAAATTATGTTTTTTAACTAAAAATTAAAAAATTTCCAATTTTTTTTTGGCGAAAAAAACCTCATAGGCTTGTTTCTGGGGTTGAACTATACTACCAGTTAAAATACTTGCAGTTATTTCTGGGACACCCTAATATCACATAAACGTTTAGCCACGTGATTAAGCTTGCTGATCGGCACACTGTGGCCCACTTTTACATATTTTATTTTAATCAAAATATTTTAGGACATCCACACATCTAACCCAACCTAAACAAAAATAAATTAATTATAAATGTATAAACAGTTATTATTTATTTCAACAAAACTCACCTCCTTAACAGCACTTAAGGGACATAAAGGGACGACACATTACTACCGCTTTCCCGGTCAAAATATTAAGGCGCGTATTCATCTGAGCACGAACGCGAACGAGGCAAGGCGAGCATACGAATGTGGACGGGTCTCCGAGGGGGATGGAGTAAAAATTCCTAATGGGAATTTTTCCTACTGCGCGAGATTTCTAATTCTCGCCCGACCTACTCGGTTCGGCCGTCATCGGCATGGATTGAAATCCTTGAGATGTACATTTTACATGAAATGAAGGAAAAAAACGTGTTAAATTTGTCAACGTCGCTCCTCGCAGTCGCTATCGAGAGTTGAGACTCGAAAAGTTAGAGGCTGGCCAGGTGCTCCATACGTTAAGTTAGAAAGTGATATAAAAATAAAATGTTATAATTATGCAGACGCATTAATAAGGAAATTTTTTCAAAATATTTCGAATTTATTCATGAACTTTAAGCCGGTCAAAATAAAGCATGGAAGTTGGTATTATATGAAATGGTTTATTATAAAATATAAATGTATGATAAAATAAAATAAATCAAACTGTAGTCCCTCTGGTATTCTAGTGACTGCGAATTGCGGGTGGCTGGTGAAAAACTGCTACTGAAGGTGAGCGTAGGTATACCTACACCTACCTATAAACAAAAAAATGTATGAGTAATGAATTTAACAACACCGTCAAATTAAAGATTGGGTAAAATACATTACATATTATTATTTAAAACAATATCTACCCAAAGTGAATATAATTTAAAATGTTAATAATCTTATTTTAATTATTAAGTCTAGTAAAGAAATGTGTCTTTTCCATTTTAAAAAAGGTACATATCAAGTACATACCTTTTTGTTCTATTGTAACTATGGTAACTAACTAGACACCATTTTGCCACCGTTGCTGCTCGAACGGCTCGAACTACTAGAAATCACCTTCTTGGCAATAATCTGTAAAAATATATAGATAAAAATTTACGTTACACATTATTCATTACGAATTAAAATTATAATTCATTTTAAATTATTTGGGGAGCCAACTACTGTCAAAACTATAACACCGAAACAGAGACCGAGGTACTTATTTTTACTTACCGCTAGTATATTCCACTATTATTATTTTCACATCTATATCTTCATATAATTGCGGATCCAATCGGAGTTGGATTATCCAGCTGCCAGTACTTGTCCTCCACTTTTTGAGGATCTGAAAGTATTTTATTACAAATTAATTAATTACCTTGCACTTAAATACATGCTAATCAAGTTATAAGTAAACCGAAACATTATGGATACTGAATATTTTGTTTTTTTAATACATAGCTACAAAAGATAAGCACAAATGAAATTTCCTACCTTCTGGCTTCCTTTTTAAATAATCCTTCCATTTTCAATTCACAATAATTCACTCCGTTCAGTAACGAAGAATAATTCACTCTGTCTGATATACTTACGAAAATATGAGAATACTGGCAACAGTGTTTTTTACTTTCCGAAGACGTTCGGACGCAATCGTAATATTAGGAAAAAGTAGAATTAGGAAATTCTTGGCGCTCCCCTCCGAGGAGCGGCAAACTGCCTCGGTTAGATCCGAGGCTGTTCGGCTGCCATCCGTAGCGAGTCGGTACATCAAAGGGAACTTGAGTACCATTCGGTTCGATGTGGACGGCAATTTTGTATTTTTGCCTCGCGCCTCCGTTTAAATCTTTAATTCGTTAAATTTGTTTTGGTTCATGTGTTTTTGTCATAATAAAGTTGCAGTATGAACTGGAGTAATGAAAAAACGTTAATTTTAATTAAAGAATATGAAAAGCGACCCATTTTATGGAAAAAAGATCATCAACTTTACTATGATGTTATAAAAAAAGAGGATGCCTGGGGCGAACTTGCAGATGTTTTGGAAGAAAAGGTTGACGTATTAAGGAAACTCTTAAATCATCACCTGTCGTGTTTCTTTATCTGCCGACAGTGCCGCACGCCGCACGGCCGTGGATCGGTGCCTCGTTCGCTATCCCGCCTGATTTCAATTTGCGGTTTTCAAAGGTTAAACGAGGCATTCGTTCTGCCTCGCCTTGCCTCGCCTTGTCTCGTTCGCGTTCGTGCTCAGATGAATACGCGCCTTTATAATAAAGTGGCGATGAGTTTTTTACGGCTATTAAGTTATCTTGTACACTTCGCACTAAAAGAGGTTCTAAAAAGAACAACGTTCGACTGCAAGGTCTGCTAGTAAAAAAAATTAAGCTTAAAGTATCACAACACTATTTATTTAAACCAAAAACACGTAATACAAAACTAAATTGTGAATAAAACAAATGACAATGTTAGGAAATAAATAAATAAATGTGAGAATTAGACATATTTTACAGCAGAGCTACCACCTGAATCCCCAGCGGCAAATTTAAATTTCAGTTGTCAGCCCGGCGTCCAATATATCCATGGTTGGCAACAATGAATTTAAAAATCGCGCCCTCGGTTAACGCAACTAAAAGTTTAATCTATTAATCTTGTTTGCAGGATGTTTAGATATCAATGCTTCTGTAAAGGCAGCTAGGTTTGTCCGATTCTGTGACGCCTTTAATATTTCACTCATAACTCTAGTGGATGTTCCCGGATTCCTGCCTGGAGTTCATCAGGAGCACAACGGTTGTATTCGCCATGGCGCCAAGTTGCTATTCGCCTATGCGGAGGCCACCGTTCCCAAATTAACCGTAATTACGAGGAAAGTGAGTACTGTACTCTTAGTAGAGATACTGATAGTAGCAAAGAGATATTGTTAGGTACATACCGATCTGATCATCGAAACTGGGTGGTCTCGATTTTAACGCGTAAGACAGTGTAGTAGACTGCTTGATAACAAATTAAACATGTGCAAAAAACTATATCTTATAGAAGATTTTGTGTTGAATTTGAGGGATATCATCGGAAACATTATTAATTTGGAAGAAAGGCGGCAACAAGCGGCCGAAAATAATAATATTTTGGTGCAGTCTACTGGTCGCAGCGACCAGCCAAAGGCTAGGTCCTGTGGCTAGGTCGTTAATGTGCGTTGTTTCATTAGATTTAATGGTATTACAGGTAGCAGCGACCTGGTCGTCAATGATTCAAATTTGATCCCTTAACCACTTATATGTGCCACTTACTTGTGATCTGTACCAAAAATCCGTTACGCTGCTCTAATCGCCGACGAAAATAAATTGTTATACGTCAGTGTAATCTGTCAATAGATAAACTGATAAGGTGGCAGATATCAAGAAAAATATATATTAACTGATGAAAAGGTCAAAAAATGTAATTTTATTGAACGAGGAATCATAATCTAGTTTCTGTCTTTGAGTTATATATTAGTACATAGATAGAGTACATACACACAAGTAACTCTACTAAAAAAACTAAATTACATCTTTTAACGTTCATTAACTACATGTAAACTACTTTGACAACCTACGGTAATTACATTCGATTGCTAAAAAATGTCTAAACTTATTGATATTACCATTTAAAAAGCATCCTATAAATAAGAAGGCTAATTTTGATAGAAACATGTAATACAGAAGTTTGTTATTTAATTAAAATATTGTACATTCATAAAACTAATGGATAACACAATGTATTAAAATTATTATAAAATACGAAAACTCAACACAACCAAAGTAGAAATTTCGGTAAAAATATAAAATATCTTATAAGATTTTAATCACCTAGTTAGTAATCTTGGTCAAGACTTTGTAGAAGGTTTAAATAATATGACGTGGATGTTACATTTAGAGCCATATTTCTTCTCTTTTATGAAATACATATTTATATGTGTTTTCTAAAGCTTCAACTTATTAAAACCTTACCTCAAACCTGCTTCAAACCTTGGCATTTGAAAGTTACATAAACTACACCCTCTATGTCGATTAACTACATGTAATATATGTAGGTTATATAGTTTTTAAGAGTAATATGTAGTTTTCCGAACCCTGCCCTCAACGCACGCCCCTATGTTAAGGGTTCATATATAGTAGGTAATATTATAAGGTGCAAGGTTTCTTCTCATATGATTTACTGACGCGTTCGAATAAAGCTTGATTTTCATGCGTCCGTTATCCGTTGATACGATGCGATGGTCCGACGGTGCTCTGATTGGTCATAGCGTTTTCGCGCCACTTCATCCGTAATTTTTTTACTCCGGCCGGTCAACAGAGCAAGATCGTCCGATAACGGATGTTTTGATACTTTTTTGACCAATTTAATCTGACCTTAATAAAAACATAATAGTACAAGAGCAACTCCGGGAAAACGAGAATTTTAATATATCTTTTGCTATGCTCTCCTGGCCAAAGCGTGGGCCGTCTGGCTGCCGATAGACTATTGCGGTTCACTACTGCGCATCACATCTGTACAGAGTATCCCATTTTCGTGTATTTTATGGGATTTCTCGTTTATGAGTAGAGATACAATGGTAATATGCAAGAGAAACTAAATATGCTACACCTATGTTTGTCCTAGTCTCCTTAGTTCCTGAAATACAGGGCAAATTTATGATGCGCAGTAGTGAACAGATGTGGAATATAGATATGATGCGCACTAGTGAACGCAACGTCTACCGGCAGCCAGACGGTCCGCACTCTGTTCAGGAGAGCATAACAAGAGATATATTAAAGAACCAGCTTTCTTAAAATTCTCTCTCGAGTTGCTAGCTCCTAGACTACTTATAAGTAAAACAGGGAAATCGTTATGGAAATAAAAATATAAAATGGCACCAATCACAAACAAATCGTAAATCCGATTAACGGAGGCATGAAAATGCAATAAATTTAAAAACTGCGTAATTTTCTAACCTATCGAAGTCTTTAAATTCAACCAATAAAATCAATATCGTATCATCGTATCGTCGGATAACGGATGTACAAATACGTTTAAATAAAATATACGACGGCCTCCCCATAAGAGCAATGAGAGGATTTACGTCCCAGTATTGAAGGACAGAAAATCGAGTCGAATGGTTTCAAGACATAAGTTCATCCTTGTTTAGTCAAACCTCCTACAACAGAAGGATAAACTTATGTAGGAAATGCATTGAAATTCTATACCCATCCTTCAATACGGGACAGGAATTTAAGCGGTACCGTCCGTATATTTTATTTAAACGTATTTGGTAAGATGCAAGGTTCGCCTTCATATGATTTTCTGACGCGTTCGAAAAACGCGCAAAATCCCCACTTGGGCTCCCCTACTATTAGCCGAACCGAAGCGCAACGAGCAGAACGAAAATAATACCGGTCGAAATAAAAGTATACAATTCAAACTAGGCGCGCCCACTGCGCCGAACGGAAGCGAAGCGTCCGTTTCGTTACCGAGCACGCGAATTCCATCGGAAATGTTCTGCTGCCTGTCGCGTCTCAACCTTCGATCTTCGGTCTGAACGATATAAAAACCAAAACAGAACGTTCGACTACACTTGAGCGTAGAAATAAAATAGTGCTGGCCGTTGCAAGCAAAATGGAGGACGAGACACTGATTTTATTAGTGCAATCGTACAGAGAATTATATGACGTGAGCAACAAAAACTATCATAATCATCAGAGAAGGGACAGCATTTGGGAAGAAATAAGTAAAGAAATAGGATATTCAGGTATGTATTTACTTTTTTTTGTTTCCTACAAGAAACAGTATTAGAAATTTAAATTATACCGTGCTGGTAACTCTTACTTTTGGGTCGGTATTTATACCGGGTGCGTCTCAAAAGTGGCTCACCCCCTATAACTTTTTTATTTTTTCAGTTTAAAAAAAAAACGAAATTTCGTATGTTATTATATGACATAAATTAGGATTGATTGGCGTATTCAATTGATTTCGCTCACTTCCTGTTTCACCGGAAATGACTACAACTTTTGATTTTTGAATGGCACCCATGGCATTTTTTTACTTTATTCGATAGAAAATGAAACTCTCAGGGTGCATCCACATTATCCTAAAAAAAAGCGGAACGGCGCGACGTCTCCGCGTAACGACCTTGAATGTATTCCCAACAATTCTATTGGCTGAAAAATTTATCTGTCAGAAATTTTATCTGTCAAATTCATCTGTCAAAAATTTCAGCCAATAGAATTACTGGAAATCTATTCGAGATCGTTACGCCGTTCCGCTGTTTCTAGGATGCTATGGATGCACCCTGAATAGAATGAAGAATGTCAACAACTTGTCAACAATAGATTGACGTATGACATTTTCACATATGGCTTATTTGAAATTCTATAACACAACATACGGTACGTATATTACACAACATACGGTTCATAACGACAGGACAAGACACGAAAAACATTAGACGATCAGATATATTTTTCAAAGGCTCCTTTATTAAAAATTAGTGTTCTTAACACAACCATGGTAACCACTCTAGATTTAAATTTAAAATACGATTTTTTAAGCGAGAATGTCAAAAGTTGACCTATGATATGTCATTCTACTCAGAGTGTCATTTTCTATCGAATAAAGTAAAAAAAATACTGAGCGTGTCATTTAAAAATCAAAAGTTGTAGTAATTTCCGGTGAAACAGGAAGTGTCAATCAATTATAATTTATGTCATATAGTAATATACCAAATATCGTTTTTTTTATTTGAAAAAATAAAAAGGCTTTAGGGGTGAGCCACTTTTGAGACGCACCCGGTATATGTGGAAGTGAATCGCTTAGCGATCTTATTAAGTCGGAGTGAGAAAAATGCGACGGTGTGCTGTTGCGGCGCTGCCACATTTGGCAGTTATACAAGTACGCCATTCCGTGTCTAGTGTAATAAAATCACGGTCGAAAGGCGCTTATTTTTAATTTTTTTCGCAAAGAAACCTAGGTACATAAAATCATTAAATGTGTGTCTCTGGACATCTGAATTCGAGTTATAGAATATCGTTAGGGTGACCATTCCTTTTGTAATGAAAAAAGGTCAGTAACTGTGGTAATTTGAAAACTCAACTTAACATACAACACGCAATAACTCAAAAACTACTTTGGATATTGAAATTTTCTTTTTTTTATTTTGAAGTTCGGATCTTTGACAAAATGTGAGTGCAACATTTTTTCAGGGCTGGTAGATCTCGATAAAAGAAACATATTTTCTCTTTGCCGTTTTTCAAATAAGGCCAAAATAACGGAGTTATTTTACTTTGAAAGCTTGTGAGAAAAATATTTTTTGCTTAAATTTTGAGAACCACTGGATATTTTCTGGGTTTTCTTTTTTATAAATTTAATCTTCTACCCATGTTGCCATATTTTCTAGAAATTATCATTACTAAAAATGATAATTCCTTGTAAAAGTAAAGTTTACAAAAAAATTGTTCTCGAAAAAAAAATAAAATGATGTTTCTAGAGTCGAAATACCGTGTGGTGCATCGGGACGCGGGTAATAGGTAATCCCATATAAATTTTGAAAAGGGCAAATATTATCTCCCCAGATGATTATATGCAAAAATTGTAGGTATTAGACTTTTTTGAATTTATTATTAGGCGTTAAAGTTATACTGTCGTCTAGAGCTTTGTTTTATTTGGAACAGGCATCTAAAAGTTATTTGCAAAAATCTACCCCTTCATATTACCACAGATTATACAGATTATAAACTTTGTTTTTTCTTTATTGTTTTTCGTGGTTCCAATTTTCGGAATCGGGTACTAGTTAGGTTACTAGTTTGCGCACGTAGCACACTCACTTATGGCCTGTAAAATTGTGCACAGCGCCTGACCGGCACGGTTATTAGAGAGATATCGGAAAACCGAATAGCGTCATGCAGTATTTACGCGTACCTTATCATGGTTACGATATGCGCGAGTCAATTTTTAACGCAACACCCGCTAATAACGTTACCGCCTGACGTAATTTGCGGTTCAATTACACCAAGCGCTCTTTCTAAATAACCTCTAATAACGTTTAAAAATTGCTTAAATGGGCATGTGCGGGTATTTGACAACCGGAGCCGGCCGGCGAGATCTTTTATTTTAGGTTATGTTTGAATTGTTTTGAATTATTGCTTTAGTTTTATTAGGTAATTTGATATTTAAGTAGCTGGGATTAGTTTTAATTAAATAAATATGGCCCCAAAATATGGATTACACCTCTCCCAATATTAAAGTCCGAATATACATTTTCCCTGGGTTTGACCGGGAATTTGCTTATAAATATGAACAACCGGCTACGTCGCTTCACATCGCGTGGCCGTGGTGTGGCTCCAAATTCGTTCGTTTTAAAAATATTATTAGATTTGGCTATAGGCGCCCTCTGTGTCATTAATAGGGAACTGTCTCATGGAAAACATGCTGTTCCGTAAGCAATGGCCATCTGGATTATGTGTTATCTGTGTTATAAGTTTAAATAGCGGACGCGACGCGAACAGAATTCTTTCGAAGATCCTGTGAAATCCTGGCGAAAGATCCTATGATCTTTTCCTACTGTATCCCCATAAAACGGGAGTCAATGTTTTTCTTTCCTTCACCATGAAAAATATTTAAATTATTGTTATTTTCTTCCTGTTCAATTATCTCTTCACACTTCTCTTCACAATTATCTCTTCAAGTCTTCACACTTCACCTTGTGCTTTTGCTGGTATTTTAAATGTAGCTTTCTCTGGAATGTATTATAAATTTTACTAATTTGAAGGTAGATTTTTGCAAATAACTTTTAAATGACTATTCCAAATGAAACTAAATTCTACAGAAAATAACAACTTTAGCGCCTCTTCAAAAAAGTCTAATACAACTTTTGCATAAAATCATCTGGGGAGATAATATTTGACCTTTTCAAAATTAACATGGGATTTCCTATGTCCCGTGTTCCGATGCACCACACGGTATACTACCCCTAAAAATATTTGCACTTATTTAAGACTCACCCTGTTTAAAGGATTATCACTTTCCCATAAAGCTTTACCCAAATAATCTAAGAAGTATTTTGATATTTTTCAGTTGATGAATGTCGGAGGAAATGGGCAGCATTAAGAGATTGCTACAGGAAAGCTCAGAAAAGTAGGAGAATCAAAAGTGGACAGGCTGCTACCTCCATCAAGCCCTGGCGACTAGAGAAGCAGATGAAATTTTTGAAGGATTTCATAACTGACAGACGTCAAACATCTAATACATGTTCTCAAGAAGATGGCGGCAGTGAGGAAGTCGAAGAAGATCCGGCGAAGGGAAGAAGTCCGAATTCAGAAATACTGTCCAACCCGAATTCTCCGTCAGTGTCAAACCCGTCATCATCTGCTGTTCCCAAACGTCCAACCCAGGGATATAGACCAGCAGGAGAAGTTCTCCAGGACTATAATGAACACAAGAAGATAAAAAAGGATACAAAAAACGAAGGAGACTATTTGCATAAATATTTTCTAGCAGCCGAAGATACGGTTCGCACCTTTCCTGTTCAGCTGCAAATAGAAATTAAGCAAAAGTTTTCTCAACTTTTGCATGAATATGAACTGAAAGCCTTCATGTTGTCGCAAGAATCACTTTCCGTTGTTCATAGTACCCTACCACCTCACCACAACCAGTTACAGTATTCTCAGTTTGATCAATCAGACACAAGTCTTACACCCATTCAATATGATTATTTGAAAGAGGAATCCGACGATTAAGTATTTGTGATGTAGAATACAAATAAATTTACCAGAATTTATCCAAAATTAACAGAATTAGATTTAGAATATAAATAAATTATTTTTTATTATTATTAATTTGAGAATAAATTTACCTTAAGAGAAAGGCAATCTTTTTGTATGCATAGAGCTCCTATATCCTTACAGAGCTGCAAGCTCACAGAAAACTTAAGTCTTTATTTTTATTTAAATCATTTTAATGACTTCAGTCATTTTATTTTAAGTCTTTTTCAAAATGACTTGTGATTTAAATCTTTATTACGAAATAGAAAAGGATTTAAGTCTTTTTAGAAAATTCATTAATCATTAAAAAGGTTTAAGTTCTTTTATAAAAGGCTTTTTCAGATATTTATATATTTTTATGATACATACATACTGCCATTACTCGCTGACGAGTATTTGACACGCATCATAAAATGGTTACGCAAGGCGTTTTCTTTTATGAGCTTTCCTGTGACTGAAAAGCCCGATACGTGATGTTATCTGTCTACCGCACTCCGGACATTCAAAAATCTCATTGCTTTGTTGCCTCTTTACTTTTTGATTGTCGCTGTTAACTGAGTTTACAATTCTTCTCCATTCCGTTCTATTGTGAGCTGCTTATTCTTCCCAATCATTCTGCTTGTCAATTCCCTTTAAGTTTTCGTGAAAAATATCCTTGTACCTTTTGAATTGTCGACCCGGCCTGCTCACCGTAAAGCAGAGATTTTGGTATGCGGTTTTCTTGCATTCTGCATACGTGACCAGCCCATCTTAAGCGGGACTTTGTAATCATGACTTCAATACTCTCGCAGTTAGCTTTTTCAAGGACCAATACGTTTGAGACATGATGAAACCATTTGATTCCTAAGAGTTGTCTAAGATGTCTCTGTTGCAACTTGTTTAGTGCGTCCATGTGTCGGCGGTACGGCACCCAGGTTTCGCTTCCATATAACATGGTGGGAATTATTATTGCTCGGTACACTGCAAGTTTCGTTTTTGTGATCAAGTCATGATTGTAGAAAACCCTGTCTTTTAATTACCAGAATGCTCGTGAGGCGCTGCTAATCCTGTGCTGAATTTCAGAGTCGATATTGGCCTTTTCCGAAATCAAACTACCGATGTAATTGAATTCCGCTACATATTCTAATAGTTCTCCGATTTTTATAGCATTGTTGTGATCTTCCGGGGGGGGGTGCACATGGTTTTAGTTTTATCGATGTTCAGCTTAAGTCGTAAAGCCTCATATGCCCATGTATATGTGTTCAACATTTCTTGTAACGTATTTGCAACTAGAGCACAGTCATCAGCGTATTGAATAAGTGATATATGATAAATTTTATATATTATGATAAATTTTTAACTGCAGCATTCTTTTTTCAATTGTAGCCAAGCAGCAGAATAAAAAAAACAATGCTCAATACCACTAGCAAATACAACGCATTTTGACTATTTGTCGTGTTACGCGTGCGTTGCGAGCCTGTTGTCTTTCTAGTAAATGCCCGACTCCCGTTATGTAGCCCGAATGACGAACGAAAGGAATTTATCTCAAATATATTGGAGAGTACCTTAAAATCCTCCAGCCCTTAGCTTATGTCATCGATATATTACATAGTGATCAAAAACAATCACCCCTTTTTAATAGACATGTATTCAATGACTTCTAAACTGTAATGGTAATAAGTACTACAAGATTAGTTAAATCTTATAAAAAAACACATATTTTTGCCTTTCTAGATGTTCTGAAAATTAACCGTTTTATTTTATGTGGTTTTAGTCTCATCTGTACCAACAATAAATTAATAGTATGATATTAGCAAGAAAATCGCTAAAAGTGGTAATTGGTAATACAAGAAAATTAATCAAAATAAAATTATACTAAATCACCACAATACACCAAAACACTTTTACTTTTACACTGGACGCGCGTTTCGCTAACCATGTTAGCATCATCAGCAGATGATTATAAACTAAAGTACAATCTACAAGTTGAGCGTTTATATACTCGCCCAGTAGGTACCGAGTGGGCGTGGCAAAATCTAGCCAACCGAGTCAGAGCCAACTGAGCGTAACAGTTAATTTTCGCCACTAGAGTAGTAGGAACAAAGAACTTGAAGGAATTGGACCGTTGACTCTGTTCATACTATCTTTACATTTATTAATTCTGATGCTTTCATATGCATCTAATTGCCTAGAAAATTAATATTAACTATGTTGTCACAAGAATCACATGACTAATATAAAATTTATACAAGATTTACTATAGAACCTTTTATTTATTAATTATTAATTTAGTAATAATTTCTGTATTACATACTATTATATCTATTTAGGCTTATGGAGGAGCGTACATCACTTCCAGTTCCAAGCATCTACGTGGTGATGTAAATTACGCCTGGCCATCTGCAGAAGTAGCAGTTATGGGTGCTAAAAGCGCAGCTAGTGTCTTGTATAAAGGAAAATCTAACGTAGATGAACTGGAAAAAGAGTACATTGATAAATTTACCAGTCCATTTTCAGCAGCTCAAAAAGGTAATTTTTCGGGTAATTTATTATTTGATAAATGTAATCCTCAATCCTCAGTAGACCAAATTATCTCAATACTTTAGTGCCAATGATTTTTTACAGGTGTTTTATTTAATATTTTTAAACTTTATTCATCTATAAATTATGTCTCAGAAATACCGTATGATGATAAAAAAACGGCGTCAAATAGGCTGGGGAATGACAATCGATGATAATTTTGGCGAGGTCAATTTCTAGACGTCATTTACTAAAAATTGACTAAATATTTGGCAAAAATTACCACCACGTGAAAACATTAATTATAGGAAAATTAAAAAAGAATAGAAAGTTTCCAGACACACAAAATCTATTTCCAAAAAATTAGTTTTTCTCGAATATTAAACGACACCATTTACAAATCCTTTTACTCAATATAAAAATAAATTACAACCTTCTTAAAGCCAACTGGCAGTAACCACCATTTAAAAATATAGAAAAGTAGGAGCTAAAGACGTCTAGGACTTGACCTCGCCAAAATTATCATCGATTGTCATTCCCCAGCCGTATTTGACGGTGTTTTTTTTTTTTCGATCGTATGGTATATTCAACTTATGGAGTATAGAGAGAAAGAGAACTATCTTCGTGTATTTAAAAATAGTTATAAAATAGGGAAGACTTGAGATGGCGCTGCCTGTAGCAAAAACCTAAAATTTAAAATATGCGCCGAAAATTTTTAGAACAGGAAATTATTCAAAAGAGATCCATATTTGACGTAAAGGCGCGGATTTAAAAAAAAATACAAATTTTATTATCATGTCACAGCAATAGACTCTGGGCCTCTAATATATAAAAATAATTGCTTTATATTCTAAAAAATAAAAACAAAGCTTTTTGGGTAATGTTGTGTTATGTTACTTATATTCCCTTATCTATGGTTACTTTTTATTTTTTAGATTGATGCGTCATTAGCGCCACTGGTTACTCCACACATGTGGTTATTTGGTGAACCCTTATTCTTCCCATTTTTGTGACCACTTTTTCAAATACAGTCCCATAAGAGATATTTCTTCTCATCTCTAAACTCCATAATTCAACTGTATAACGAGCCAATCATAATAATTAGTTATATTAATATCATTATCTTTTTCTCGGTGAAATATCAGGATATGTTGATGACATCATTGAGCCTAGGACAACTAGATGGAGATTATGCAGAGACCTGGACCTTCTGGAAACGAAAAAACTTACCAATCCGCCTAAAAAACATGGAAATATTCCGTTATAAATCACTATACCGCACATCTATTTTTTATTTAATCGATATAAAAGTTCAAATATATTAAAGTTTATTGAAGGAATATTTTTCAATCAACGATATTAATAAATCATCTCAGCTTTTATATGCTATGCTTATAATACGCTAAATCATAAGATCGTTTTATCTTATCATTAGATTTAATCGTTAGATATATTTTATAACATAATTTAATTAGCTTGTTGGTTGCGAAATGATTTTCTTTAAGAACATATACACACAAAGAAGTCAAAGAATTTAGGGACCATTCCTTAGAGACTTTATTCTTCTTATGGAGCTTAGGGACAAAAATATTTAGTTTTATATGCGTAAAATCTGATGGATCGACTATTTCTATGTAAACTATTATTTAGTTTTGAAAGCAAATGCTAATACATATAATTTATAAAGCCTGTAAATGAATATGCGCCAAAGAATAGTGAAGCTTATTTGAAGGTGTGTAGATGGAACTAATCAAATCGAGTTTATAGTTATGAAAAACCCTTTATTTTTAAACAAGATAACAAACAAAACATAATATTTTTTTTTGGATTTGTGACTATCTGTTATTGCTATTTAAATATAAATGTTGTAAGAAAAATATTTTTTAAAATATGTAGTTTATAAATGTCGGAGGACAACGGTCTCAATTTAAAAAAAATACACATTTTTTTTTTTGTATAAAGCAGTTTGTGTCTTAATTTATTTACATTAATTATTTTGTCTTGTCTGAAATTATTGATGAATATATCAATATACAGGGTGAGTTTTCTACAATGTTCTCTATGGGTATCTCGGAAACCATTGGAGATAGACTCGGTTAAATTGGGGAAAGAATTGCAGTTTTGTGGGGTTATAAATATGCGCTTTTCAGATTTTTGAAAAAGTTCATGGCTTACTAGATATTTCGAAAAAAAAACAAATTTCGGCTATTTTCTATCTCTCTATCTCTAATTCTATTATAATGTATTTTAGACAAAAAGTTTTCAGATAAAAGTTGTAGATAATCACATCCTTAATGAGACTGTGTTCTCCGTTTCTCTCTAAAGCCTGTCATTTTTGACATATGACACAAACTTATGCTTTTTTAAATGGAAACCGTAGTCGGCTATTACTTCATAAAAAGCGCCATTTTTTAAACTTTTCAGCGATAGTTATAATATGTTTTTTGTTCGAAAAATTACTGAGTTATAGCCAATTCTTATCTTTCTTGACTAATTTCACTTAGTTAGCATGGTATTCTTATTATGTTAATTATTTAATTTTTATAATTTATGACTTTAAAAAAGACAGAATATTTAATTAAACAGTTCTTTACAACTGACATTACACAAACTTAAACTTAAAAAATAATATTACTACATACAGTTTAAGTAATTTTAGAAAATATTTAAAAAATCTACCGCATAAAAAATCTAAAATAGATAGGTCAGGTGATTGAGGAGGTCCATGCAATTGGTCCACCTCTTCCTATCCTTGAGTTTAAATAATTATAATATAAATAATGAACATTTTTTTCATTATGGGGGTGAGAATCATAATGAAAGTCATGTTGGAACCACTCTATTGATGCACAAGTCTCTAAATGTAACTTTCCATGTCTTGAAAATCGTTCTCTAAAAAGCGTCTGTAACGTATCCTCGAAAATGTATGGCCAAGAAAAGTTGAACTACTAACCCTACACGCCTTTCTTCATTTGAAAAATTCATAATTACAATTTTTGATTATTTTAATTTGCAAAGTTTGGATGTGACAGTTTGACATTTCTGGGAGCAACGACGATTGAACTTGTTTCCATGGCTAACTAAGTGAAATTGTTTAAAAATTATAAGAATTAGCTATAACTGAGTATTTTTTCGAAAAAAAAAAACATATTACAGTTTATGTCACTGAAAACCTTAAAAATGGCGCTTTTTATAATGTCATGGCCAACTATGGTTTCCATTGAAAAAACATAAGTTTGTGTCATATGTCAAAAATGACAGTCTTTAGAAAAAAAAGTAGAACACAATCTCATTAAGGATATGATTATCTACAACTTTTATCTGCAAACTTTTTGTCTAAAATAGATTATAATGGAATTAGGGGCCATTTTTAAAATTACCAAAATTTGTTTTTTTCTCGAAATATCTAGAAAGCCATGAACTTTTTCAAAAATCTGAAAGACGCATATTTATGACTCCATAAAACTGCAACTCTTTCCCCATTTAACCGACTCTCTATCTCCAGTAGTTTCCGAGATACCCATAGGGAACATCGTAAAAAAATCACCCTGTATATTGAGTAAAGGCCCGCCTGTACGCGCGCTGTCACCAGCTGCTGACTAACGGGGTTCTATTTATTGTTTTCACTATTACCAACGCTATTACTTTGCAAAGTTTCAGTCGTCAGAAATCCCTATGAATGACAAAAATGTTTGACAGCGTGATTGAGGTAGCGCCTGACGCTTTGTGTCCCCATCTCCATACTCTGCCTGACTGTTATATTTTTGTTTTACCGTTGATTGGTTTTAGATTGCATTCGAATGTTATCTACAAATTTTCAGCCTTCAGAAAACAGTTTGGAGGTGTTAATTAAAATTACACCTTTGCGCGCCTTCTCAGGGCCAGGTGTCCCGGAACTGCTGGCTGTATCTTTGCATTTTAACATTAAAATGCAATCGAATTTGAAAATATGAGCCTTCAGAAAACTCCTGCATGTTTTTGCACTCGTCGCTTAGACAAAGTTTTAATAATACCATTTTTGATATGGGTATAAGGGAATAAAAGAATGAGTTATTTTTTAATACTTTTATTTAGGCTTTATCTGGGGTTCCATACAATGTCCAATTTAAAATCTTTTATCACAATGGGATGTGTCAACATTTCATAAAAACTGTGATTTTTTTTCATTAGAAAACATTTTGCAACAGATAAGCAAAAATGCTTTAAATTTTCGACCGGAAATTTTTATATAATATAAAACTTTTCTAACAAATAAAAAGATTAAGACATTCTCATATTGACATATTCACTCAATGTTGTTTTAATAATGCAATATAATTTAATACATAATATTTTCTTTCAATAGCATTATGTTTATCAAACATACTTATTAATATTCATTCATTATTAATCGTACTTTACAATATATTTTATCACAAATAAAAGTTTCTTGTACTTAACTTATACAACGATATATCTACGGCTTTTAACGCTAAAGTTAATATATTTCGTGTAAAAAAAATCAAACTACATTTTCCATATAGCAACATAACGCAGTAATGCCCTTTCTTAAACAAAAAGGCCTTTATACACTAGACTAACTAAGATTATTATAACATTTTCATTACGACAATATGAATTAAATTCAACTCAAATTAAGGTATGTATTCTGAAAGTAAGTTTACTTTTAGTATTCAACAAATCAATAATTTTAGAAGTTCCAATTGCAACATGTTATAGGTAAACTTATTTATGATCAACATTGGGCATAATGCAAAACGTAACAAAATCAACATGCTAAAGTATTCTGACTAAAGCCTTAGAGAAAAAGTAACTTAATAAATATAGGCATTATAAGTTTTTTGGTCAATATTAAAATTAATATCTACAAAAGTATAAGGGTCAGTCACTGATATACCACAATATATTTCTAATTTTAAAAAGTATCGTTATTAGTTAAGATTAGTTAAGTTAAAAAGTATACCTCAACGTTAGTCTACACTGATCAGTCGTCTTGAAAATTTAAAGTTTCGGGAAAGACATATGAATATACTTATTCGAAAAGTTGATGAAACTTTCAAACTTCAAGACGACTCCTCATAAATAAAAAAATCACGATAGTAGGTATAATATAAACCTAAATACACTTATATTGGATTAGATAAAAAAATACTAGATTATTCTACGCTAAGTTAAAAACCTTTAAACAAATCACTGTTACATTATCTTTAAAATGGAAATCTATGGCAACATATATACGATCTAGAGCTAAGCGATCTAAAAATAAACTACTTGGTCTTAAAGAGATCGTTTATGGTGTATGTCGTATGCGATTGACACGCCACCTATTAAGAAGATTACGAAAGGAAGAAGTAATCGTACTATATTGTCATTGTTTAAGTTACATATCAAAACGGGAGAAATTATACTGCACCGAAGAGAGAGAGGGAAAGACTCAAATTCAGTGGGTATTTGATTCTGTGTCATTGTTTACACGTAAGTGGATTGATTAGGCAGTATAATTTTTCTCTGGTCGCGTTTAGTTCTATCGTCTAGAGTAACTAAGTTAGTTTCTTATGAGCAAGTTTGAGCCAACGGTTTTTTCAACCCTAATCGAAACCCTACACTGAAAAAGGATCCAAAGAAATAGGGCACATAATTTAATTAATTAGGTACTGTATACAGTGTCTGATACATTACAGAGCGTCGAATTTTGGTTGGAATTGAGGGGTTTATTTGCGTATTAATACAGTTGAAACCTGGAGGCTTATGCAGATCTGATCTACTTTTTTGTGACACCAAATATGCAGCAAACCTAACTGTCACGGCTCCCTCAGTTGTCTTGACATATGATTTGAAAATATTGCACTTTCAGACACCTCAATGGCGTGACATCAAAATATGATTCTTTATTAAAAAAATAAGCCTATATTAAGAAAAAAAAACTAAGACAGATAGCATGAAAAAAGTTTGATAAAACCCCGTTTTAACCATTGCTTTGACATCAGACAACTGAGACCGAGGGTGTTTAAAATTAAAAACCATTTAAAAAACCTCATAACATGGAAATTAAGTGGCCATAACGATTTGATTGAAGCTTCCATGGTAAAAATAACTTTGGAAGGTTCGTGCAAATCCCACCTGCATTAACAAACGAGAAAATCGTCAATTGCAACAAAAATTTGACACTCTGTATCTACATTTTGATTTTCGATAGAAAATGACGATAGATGATATTTGCCATATAAAATTGCATATAAAATGGCTGACGCCGTTTTTTTTCGATCATACAGTATATTTCTGTTTGAAGCATTTATGGAGAAAGTACACAGATAGTTTAAATCTAAATGATACCATATACAGGGTAGTCCGAAATGTATTCCGGAAACTTCGGCAGCATATTCTGCAGATAAAAATAAGTCAAAAAGTTCGTATAAATGTATGCCCTAAAATGCTTAGTTTCGGAGATACAGGGTGTAGAAGTTTCATTTTTATTTCGATTTTTTCCAAATAATTTCTGAAATAACGTCGATATTTGGATGAAAATTGGTGTCTGGGAGTTTTTTGACATGAGAAATTTGATTTTGATGTCAATATCACTCCTACTTGCAGAGGGCGCCACCTACATGTATTTTAACTGGTTTGAAGAGTTATAACTTTTCATCCGTACCCGTATAAAACTACTGAGTGAAAAAATGTACATTTTCGTGATTTTTTACGTCAAAAATGTCTCTTGGTAAAAATCGCTACGAGCAACCGTTCTCAAGATATTTAGAATGGAAATAGTAAATACCGTATGATCGAGAAAAAATGGAGTCCAGTTGGCTTGGAAATGACGATCGTTGACATTTCCCATATAATTTTACATATAAAATGACAGCGATCTTCATTTCATAGCCATCGCTGACGCCGTTCTTTTTCGATCATGCGGTACATGACATTATTGACAAAAAAATAAACACGTTGAGTAGGTAATTTTGACTGAAATAATAAATTTGGGGTAATTTTTATTTTTTTTAAATTAATCATAAATTTTTCTGCGAAAAAAAATGATGATGAAACAGATTCTGTAGAACTTTTGATAGAAAAACATTTTAAATTCATGATTTCATTCTGATAACTATTTAGTCAACATGTTTAATTTTTATGTCAATGATGACAGGTATTGATAATTTTGCTTCCAAATATCTCGAGAACCATTACTCGTAGCGATTTTTACCAAGAGACCTTTTTTACGTAAAAAAACGTCGTAAATGTATATTTTTTACTCAGTAGTTTTATACAGGTACGGACGAAAAATTATTAGTCTTCATAGTCTTCAAACCAGTTCAAAAATATGTTGGTGGCGGCCTCTACAAGTAGGAGTCATACTGACATCAAAATTAGATTTCTCATGTGAAAAAACTTCCAGAAACCAATTTTTATCCAAATATTGACGTTACTTCAGAAATTATTTGGAAAAAATCGAAATAAAAATGAAACTTCTACACCCTGTATCTCCGAAACTAAGCATTTTAGGACGTAAATTTATACGATTTTTTTTACTCATTTTTATCTGCAGAATATGCTGCCGAAGTTTCCGGAATACAGTTCGGGCCACCCTGTATATTTTAATATTCGGGGTAATATAGATAAATGCTATAGATGGATAATGCTGGAATTAATGGTAAATTCACGAAGAATAACTTCTAACTAAGATATTTCTGAAGAACAATTTACTAAGGCTGGAAGATTTGGTATGTAAAGAGCTGCAGAATAAACATTTTTAATAGTAATATTTATTATGCGAAAACCGAAATGCAAAGTTGCAAAAAAGACAGAGAATGTAGCCCTTTTAGCTCTTTTCCAACAAATATAAACATATTGCACAAATAAGAAAAATACCACAGACTAACTTATATAGTCTGTCTATTAACCACTTTCAAAAGTGATATTTCTTTACTTGAGCATAATTTTCCTTTAGATCATTTTTTTCAGTGTAGCCTATTAATTCAACTACAATGATTAACAAATCTTACAATTGCATTTTCAAAGGTTACATTGGCAGTATATGAGTCGTTCTATTCTATTGCCAAACCGTTGACTCGTACATCGGAACAAAACTATTTCTTACATCTCCAATATTTTCTCACAAATAAACTACAGTATTGGAGGAAGGAAATTACCCGAATATTTTAAGTTCAAATCCACCGTGTTGCTGGTGGTATCGTGCAATCTGGTGTCGATGATTTTGGCCCTAACTTTATCACTTTTCTGTTGCACTATACATTTGTAATGGGTCCTGGAATGGCTGCTACCGGAAATACTGCTGGATGACGAGTGGCTGTCGTTCGCCACGTTCACCTCAGAGTGACTGTGTCGGAGGTCAGACTTTTGGTTCTGGTGCGAGTGTGACGTGCCGGAAAGGATCCAGGAGTGAGTGAAAGCTTCGCTGGGGGTCATGCGCTTTTTGGGATTCCATCTGGAATACAAAAAAGAATTTGTTAGATCTTGCTTAAAATAGCCAGTTTTTCAGAGGAATAAATAAACCAGAAGAGCTTTAAGAATCTGTTACGCTGTACTACTCGGGTTGCTCTCAGGAGTCGGGTAAAACGGGTGCCTGGGAGAAGGAAATATATACATATTATGGCGCGTTTAGACTTGAGCACGCACGCACTGATCCTCCGCGAATGCTCAAGGTGCGTATTCATTATCCGAACGAATGTTCGCTAGTAGTATGGACGGGGACCGTACAATAGAACCTCACGAGAAGACCGGACGCATTTCTTGGCGAACGCCTTTGATGTACCGACTCGAAACGGATGGTCGAGCGAACGAACGAACGAACGGCCGCATGCGTTCGGTCCCCGTCTAAATATACCGCACTTTCATTCGTTTGTTCGTTCTTTCGGATAATGAATACGCACCTTCAAGTGTAAACGGCTGTGCGCGCACGCTGAATCTGGCTGTGCGCGAGCAGCCGCAAACGTGAGCCGTCTGGTGTCGGTTTTTGATCCGTGCTCAAAGGGATTTTATGTGTGCCCGAACGCTCAATTTGCACCGGCAATTTGTTTTGTCTGCGTTCGTGCGTGCGTGTGTGATTTTTTTCGTTTTCTTTATTAAAATTATGGAGTGGATCAATGAATTTTCGTTATTATTAATTGAAAAATATGGAAAGTTGTCTATATTATGGGATGTTAAATATTCTTTGTATTATTAAAAAATCAAAAAAAAAAATATAACGCATGGCAAAACCTTGTAAATAAAATTAATATTGAATATGTCGATATTAATGAAATTGCTATTCTAAAATTTGTATCTTTTGTTCGTAATTTTTGGTGTTTAAATTTTGTAAATATTCAAAGTCGGGCCTGGTCGTTCTTGTAAAGTTTTTGAACTGATCATAGCCCTCCTCAGACACTAAGTTGTTGCAGTAAATTATATCGATTTCTAAAAATTTGGGTTTGCCACCATTCTTAAAATATTATTTTTTAGGGATATTTAGTGTAATGTTTGTAGGCTTACCTAGTGGAGGTAGTAAAAATATTTAAATGTAGGAATTGTTTGGTTTTACTGTAGGTACCTCCAGAAAATGAGATAAAAATAAACAAAAGGAAAGCCCGCTAAATTTTTTTGATAATACGGTATTATAAAAATTTGATAAAAAGTGAAAAATCTATACTCCGTGTTCTGTCTCCCATCTCTATTTTAATGTTCATTGATGGAATTGGCTAACACAATGCAATTGCTATTTTTTCTTATTGCAGTATTTCTCTTAGATGTTGGTTCAACTTACTCTAAACATTTGGAAATAAAGTCGATGAACAAGCTGTCCGTATACCGTAAGACCATGGCTAAGCTTTTTGATCCAGGTTTCCTCTTGCGGCCTTTGGAATTTGTAATACATCTTGGATTTCCTCGAGAATCTGAAATAAAAGAAAATTCCATGAATATAAAAATAAAATTTGTTTGAGAAAAAAGCAACCGTTTAGTTCTTTAATAACCTTTATACTTGTTTAGTGTTATACTTTTCTTTACTTTTGTACTAAATCCTAATAATCATTATTATATATGAACCAACAAATCCTCAAATCACTATTTTAGCTATGGCAGTGTTTTTGAAATATTCTACATTTATTTTTTGTATCAGGAATAGACCGTATCATCGAAAAAACGGCGTTAAAGACGGCTGAGGAATGATGATCGATAGTAATTTTGAGGAGGTCAAGCCCCAGCCCAGTTGTATATTAGGATCAATTTAAAAACTAAAATTATTTAGAGTTAGAGGTATTTTGATTCGGGTGTGTTTGGTGACGTCACCAATGCCATTTTATCAATTAAAAAAATAGTGGTTTACTTTTTTATTCAAATATAATTTATTCTTTATGATAAATATAAGCATATTAGGTAATAAGTACTCTCAAACGTATGATTAATACATTAAATTTAATATGAATAGGGTAAGCTATAATATTATTGGTTATAGAAAATACTAGCAAAAAGTCTATTGTCTAAAATGTAATAGATATTAAAACAAATTTGGCTTTACATCTCTCTTGGCGTATATATATGATTTTTTTTTAACCGGAATCACTTAAAATGTACTCTCTTAATGAAAATAACAGGGGTGTAGTTACAAAACAATAATTTAATCGTCGTATAGAGGGTGACCCAGGCTTATAAAAAGCTCTAATATTAGGTTTTTGGTGTGTGTGTTCATTTCAATTTTTTACATAATATGAGAGCAATTGTAGCGCATATTTTGAAAATATTTTTGTCAACATACAGGGTGATTCAAACATATTTTTAAAGCAAAGTTGTATATTTTTAAATAGAATATACCTATACTATATATTTTTTTAACTCAGCTGAGTTGCCAGAAAATTTTTAGTCCAAAAATACCATAATGTCATATACTACACCGAGTGGTTTTTGAAATATAATTGTTTTTAAAATAATTTTGCTGCTTAAAATACTACTTTATTGTACAGTATGTCCCCGGATTATCTTTTCAAGAGGAAACACTTTTTTATTATTGACATTTTGAGAAAAATGCATATTCATAATAAATTTTGCGTGTTTGAAAATGGTTAATCCCGTTTATACTTTCCCAAATTTCCATACTGTTTTAGAGAAAATTACAAAAAAATTAAAATATGGTTGATTTTTTCCTAAAGTCCTAAAAATCAAAAGGCGTTTCTATGGTAATAAAATTTCTATTTCACTCTTTGATAGATAGTTATTATTAATTTTAATTAACGTCATATTTTTTGCTGTTGCTAAAGTATCACATTTTTCGATAGCACCCTTTCCGTAGCATTGACTCAAATAAATCGTCGCCTTAATCGGCAAAATGCGTAACTCCACATTTTTCATAAAATGACATTTTTGTGCCATCTGGTAGGAAATATTACAACCCATGACTTGCAGAAATCCGTATATCCAAAATTAAATCGGTTTATTTGGCATTCCATAAGTAGAAAACCTCGTATCTCCTTTCCCGCCAATTTCAATCGGCAAAATCCGTAAATCCGTCTCCAAACCAAACTATATTTTCATGGTTTTTTTAATTTTCTCTAAAACGGTATGGAAATTTGAAAGGGTATAGGTAAACAGGATTAACCATTTTAGAACTAGCAAATTTTTTTTATGAAGAATGCAGTTTTTTTCAAAATGTCAATAATAGAAAGGTTTTTCCTCTTGTAAAGATAATCCGGTGACATATTGTAAAAGTAAAAAAGTCCTATTTTTGAAGCTTTTTCGCATATAAAACTACGATACTTACGTATAGGATAGTTCATTAGAAAAGTATTAGTTTGCAGGATATTTATACCTACTAAAGTTACATTAAATTCTCAATATATGTGGACATCTGAAAAATCAACCAAAAATACCTACCAAAAAATAAACGTCTTCTTGTAGCGACTGCTATGAGATCATCTGGCGGCTGTCCTAAAACTTCCATAAGACAAGCCAACTGTTCCACCTCGTTTTCCCCAGGAAACAGAGGATACCCTGTGTATAGTTCGGCTAAAATACATCCCAGACTCCACATATCTATGGCGGGTCCGTAAGTCAAACCCAAAATGACTTCCGGCGATCTGTAGAATCTCGATTGGATATAGGTGTAGACTCGTTGATTTGAGTAACAGGAACTGCCGAAATCGATAACTTTGATCGAACTGCTGCCTCTCTGTTTAAGTAGAACATTTTCCTGAAAATAATAAAAAAAAATAATATAGAAATCGTACTTTTCAATTTTTTTATGCCAGTGGTTGCGGCACTATCTGCAAATGTAATAATTATACGTGAATAATCTTTTTAATTGGAAGAAATTGGGTAACAATACTAACAATAAGAATTTGGTTTAATAAGCGTAATAATGTAATGTGCTGGCGTAAAACAAGATGTAATAACGCATTGTACGCAATTAATTATGCTACGGTTGTGTTAACATATACTTTTCATTTTTACGTTTAATTGGAAAATTGTTTGGAATAGCATAGCTATAAAACATTTTCTTGGATTTATTATTTAAGAATATCACTGTAACCTTAGGACTTACTGTATTTCTCTAAAGCTACTCTAGTATTTTAGTTTAGATTGCATAGAGTGATTTAAATGTGGCGCCTTCAGCTAATGTCGAGAAAATGATAAAGAAAAAATTAAAGGAAAAGTTAGTTTTTAAAGATGGGACCCAAAATTTTTTAAGGTACATTTTTGGTTCAACTTTCATTTAGCTAAAATCAGTTATGTAAAAAATATGTATTTATTTAGTATTTGGAATCCTTTTCGAATAGTATGTATGTCACAACAATTCTTATGCGGAAAATGCATCCATTTTAAATTTTTCAACTTTAAAATAGCTGAAATCAGTGTTACTTTCGTTTAGCTGAAACCAAGGGTTAGTTGAAATCAGTTATCTCAGAAATATTTCTTTATTTAGTATTTGAAAGCTTTTTTGAATCACAAAAATTTTCTACGGAAATTCATCATTTTCAGTTTTTCAACTTAAGAATTGCTGAAATCAGGGCTACTTTAGTTTAGCTAAAATTACTTATGTAAGAAATATTTGTTTAGTATTATTTAGTATTTGGAAGCTGTTTTAAATAGAAAATCACGAACATTTTTCTTCGGAAATGCATAACTTTCGGTTTTTCCACTTTAGAATAGCGTTAACCAGATACATAAAAACATGTTTCTGTTTTTCATTCTATAGAAATATTTATAAACATAGATGCACAAAAAACTTCTTGCGGAAGTGTGCTATCAATTATTGATAAAATATTGTAAATTATAGCAAGATTTGGAAATTACTCGGCAAGCGCGTTTAGCTTAGAGTGTGTTTTGATTGCTTTGATTTGGTTTGGTTTGGTTTGTTGATTTGTTTGTGTTTATTTTCGTTTTTTCTCGGTACGGTATTTATATCTAAATCACAGTATCTACTAGGTTAAGTTCATATCTACACAAGAAAATTATTTAGAATTATTAAAAGCAGGAACATGTTTTTATGGAACTGATTTCAATTATTCTAAAGTGTCAGGTATTATATGTCGGAAAAAAGAGAATGATGCATTTCCGCAGATAAATTTTTATGATTTTGTGTTTGGGGAGGCTTCTATATACTGGATGTTTTGTTGTTTTTTTATAAGTGATTTCAGCGAAAAAAAAGTTCACTCGTTCAATTTTACGTAAATCAGTTAATAAAACAAATATTTTTCCATTTGATAAGTCCTTTATGACACATAAAATATAATTGAAAGCCATTTTTAAGGTACAACTTAAGGCCTTTTTTATCAGGTGTTATAAATTCCCTATCATCTGAATGTCCCAATACTGATTTTAGGAATCGTATTATCCAAGTCAGCCACTATTTTTAAATGGCACAATTTCAACTAAAATACACACAGCTGGATTGATAATTACGGATGCGATTATTGTACACGACTTCTCTCTGTTTGCTGTAGCTTTAATTTTGAATTTAAACTAGGCCAATAATTAAGGGTTAATCTATGACTAACAAGTATATTCTCGTCGCTAGTTAAATTAAAGAATGTCTATGTCGTAGGCATAAAGCAAATTTAGGCAAACACTCTTTTGCCTGGATATTTGGTAAGTGCCATGGAAAATGTCTGAATTTAATTTTTTGAAAAAAGTTTGGTTGACTTTTTTCTAGTTAACTTGCGGTCCCTTCTTAACGACATTAGCCAGGAGATGACAAATAAAATAATTTTACCTAAACTAGATGCCCTCAGAAGTTAAAATACTGTGGATACAAAAGGAGACTTAATAACTTTATTAAGAATATTTCAGTTTGGGGTTGGAACCTTTGATGTTACAACAGCAAAATATAAACACGAATTCACCACAATACACCAAAACACTTAACATTGGACGCGCGTTTCGCTAATCATGTTAGCATTATCAGCAAATGATTAAAGCTAATAGTACGAGAGCTAGCAACGTCGGAAAAACAAGTATTTTAAGACGTCTGACTCTTTGATATATCTTTTACTATGCCCTCTAGAACAGCATGCGGCCCGTCTGGCTGCCGGTAAACGTTGCGTTCCCTGCTGCGCATTGAAAGAAGATCCTATATTTTTATTACTCCTTTAAATTCTAGTATTGAATATAAATCGAACATGTCTCCATAACGCAGTGCGTAGAGTTTCGGACCCACGAACCGATGATTCAGAGTTCGAATCCGGTTCAGGGCAAAGACTTTTTTATTTTATTTTCGTTTATATTCTGATAGTAAAGTATTAAATATTTGTTTTTTTAACCACCAGAATTATTTAATACTTTACTATCAGAATATAAACAAAAATAAAATAAAAAACTCTTTGTCCTGACCCGGATTCGAACTCTGAAATATCGGTTCGTGGTCGGAAACTCTACGCACTGCGCTATTGAGACATGTTCGATTTATATTCAATACTAGAATTTATAGGACAAATTAATAAAAAATATAGGATCTTCTTCCGATGCGCAGTAGTGAAGGCAACGGGTATCGGCAGCCAGACGGGCCGCATGCTGTTCCAGAGAGCATAGTAAAAGATATATCAAAGAGCTAGACGTCTTAAAATACTTTCTCGAAAACGTTGCTAGCTCTTAGACTATAAGTTTTAATAAAAATGTTTATACCTCTAATAATAAGTTTTAATCATCTACTGATGATGCTAACATGGTTAGCGAAACGCGCATCTAGTGTTAAAAGTAAATTATTTTGGTAGTGTTGATAGTTTTGTAGTGAATTGGTGTTTTTATTTTGCTTCGTTAAGAATGCCTTTTTTACCGTTAACCGCCAATTCGTATGTAAATAGGGTTATTTCATAACATTCCACTCTAACTTTATTACTCGACGAAAACTAAACTGGCTATATTGCAATACCCTAGGTCCATAAATAAATACATATTTAATAGCCTAATAACTAACTTACCGGCTTGAGATCGCAGTGGATAATATTCTCCCTGTGCAGTAGCCTGAGGCACTTCAGCAGGGAGTTGGCGAACCTTCTAATCAGGTTCAAGCTGAAACCCTGGTAGTTGTTTTTCTTAATCAGCTCGTAGAGGTTCAGACTGTAACAAAAATATATCATGTACGTTCACAATATTACTTTACTTATATATTATATCAAAAATTAAAACAATATATTGGTTTTTGTTGGTGGTATGTTTATTTTTAAGTTAAAATATTAGTAAATAATTAGCAATATTTGAATTAAAACATCGAGATTATTCCGGATTATAATGCATCTGAGATAGATTCCATTTAAGACCAGATTAAGAGTTAAGTGTAGCATCTGATGAGATATTGCAATAATAGAGCTATCAAAGTCTTAAGATTGTTTAAACAATTACACGTTACTAAATTAATTTAGGCTCAATCTTTAAGCTTCATTGCGAACCGTGGAATTAGTGGAATAATTTAGTGGTTTCAATTAGCGTATAAGTTTGTTTCTCTGATTTGAATGTAAGCATTCAGAACGTCAAAATTAGTGGTAAGCATTTTCAGTTAGTGGAAAAAGTTAACAAACTCTTAACTTTTTCACTAATTACGCTTCAAAATTTGCGACGAATGTCATTTTGGCTTTTGATTGTCATCCGTCAAGAGAAAATGTGGTTAGAAATCAAAAGTTTATTTTTTTATAAACTAAAAAATATTCGGCTTTCTCTGTGGATACAACTGACTACCGCAAGCAAGGATAATCTATTAATTGTAATTCCGCTTTTTAAAAATTGTGAATGATCGTAAACTAAAAAGTATAAAGTGTAATTGAAAGGGATGATGGATAGGATCATTCACAATGTCTAAAAACCACAATTAAAATTAATAGCATATCCTAGCAACAGCTTGCGGTCGTCTGTTGTGTCCATAGAGAAAGCATAATATTTCACTTAAAAAACAATAAATTTTTGATTTCTAACCAAATTTTTTCTTGACAATGGCGTTCTTCGCAAAAAGGCTAAAATGACATTCCTCGCAAATTTTTATGTATAATTAGTGGAAAAGTCAAAAGTTTGTTAACTTTTTGTACTAATTGAAAATTAATACCACTAATTATGACGTTCTGAATGCTTACATTAAAAATAGGTGAACAAACTTCTACGCTAATTGAAACCACTAATTTATTCCACTAATTGCGAGGTTCTGAATGAAGCTTTAAGCTTTAAATTTCATCAAATTTTTAATAAGCCTAAAATTTATTATAAATAGCTTATGCTTATAAACCGGAAAGACGAAAACTATTTCACTACCACATTTAAAACATTATTAACTTTTGAAATCTTAGTTTATAAGTATCTCTTGGATCTTCAATATTCACAGCCATATTTATCGACATTTTTTACTCCAAGACGAAACTAATAATTATGATTTTATTTCTGAATAATGTTGGATTATTGATAATTTGATTTTTTAATAGATACTTATATAAAAATCCAATGAAATATCTTACCAGTATTGTAGACATTTAATCTTTATTTATTTTTTATCAAACAGGCCAACCCCCTTTCTAGTACGTATACTTCAAACTTTTATATTAAATTGTCTTATTAATGATAGTATAGTCTGATAAATACTACATGGATAATCATACAGTAACAGTAGTAAAGGTGGCGTTGCAATTGGTATCGGCCTTTTTAGATTCGAATAGGATATTTTAATAGAGAAATAGTTCAAAATTGTTGTATGCAAGTACAATGTTTGTGCTAAAAAATAAAACAAATTAGAATTGAAATTTTAAGTATTATACCGGATGTCTCTCAAAAGTGGTTCACCCCTATAACTTTTTTATTTTTTCAGATAAAAAACGAGATTTGGTATGTTAGTAGGTATATAACCTAATTTTGGATTGACGAATTCAATTTTTTTCAGCCACTTCCTGTTTCGCCGAAAATGACTACAACTTTTGATTTTTAAATAGCATCCTTGGTAATTTGTTACTTTATTCTATTAAAAATGACACTCTGAAATAATGACGTATCATATGTCAACTTTTAACATTTTCGCTTAAAACAAAATTGTATTTTAAATTTCAATCTAGAGTGCCATCATAGCTGTGTTAAAAACACTAATTTTCAATCAAGGAGCCTTGGAAAAATATATTTGATCGTCTAATGTTTTTAGTGTCTTGTCCTGACCAATTAAAAGATGCCCAAATTGTATTTTTAATCATATCTCAATTGTTTTCCAATGGAACAAGGGTGGCTCATTAGCATGTTTGAAAAAAAAAACATTTTTTACGAATAATTTGGTACCACTTTGGTATTTCGAGTCAAATTGTCGTTATGAATCGCAGAATGCAATTTCAAATAAATCATATTCGAAAATGTCAAAATTGACATATTATATGTCATTCTATTTAGAGAGCCATTTTCTATCGAATAAAGTAACAAAATACCGAAGGTGCCATTTAAAAATCAATAGTTGTAGTAATTTCCGGTAAAACAAGAAGTGACTGAAAACAATTGGATACGTAAATTAATCCTAATTTATGTCATATGCTAACATACCAAATCTTGATTTTTTATCTAAAAAAATAAAAAAGTTATAGGGTTGTGCTTTTGAGAGCCACTTTTGAGACGCACCCGGTATATTGTCATAAGTAATCTTTAATTATAATTGATTTATTTGAAAATGATAGATTAATGGTTAATAAGTTATCGGTTACACACAGAAGAATTAAAAAGAAAACAGAAATCTATCATGACAAAAAAACTGTCCATTCATTTTATACCATTATATTTCCAGAGAATTCCACATTTCTTGGGAATACAATTTTCAAGCTCTATTTTCCAGACGATGGCTTTACCATCCCAGGCGAGTTTCAAAGTTCATAACAACTAACGTTTGATTGAATTTTCGAAAGTTCAAACTGGATACAAGAAATTGAAGGGTTATTGGTTGATTTTATGGTTGTGTACTCGATGTGAAATTTTATGAAAATGGCTTTTCGTGACTTTCGAGAAAAATTGTAGAATTTAAAAGGGATAAAAATGTTCTCTTGCTGATGACAACTCTAAATAGTCTTCATTTTTACAAACTATGTTAAATGGACTTTACTATTCAGGTCTTATTATTTTATTTGATATGATTTGGAAGTATTTTTTTGTATTTTCATTAATAGCCAATAACTTTTCAGGATTTTTATTCTGCATATTGAATTCTTTTAGTACCTTATGATGTAAAATAGTTGATGAAATTATAGCAATTTGAAAGGATATAATTATTGAAAGACGAACCTCTTAACGCATATTCATTTTAATAATACCAAGTTTTATTGACAGGTTAGCAAATATATAATAAGTTTTCTAGAATCATATTAGCATAAAGTTAAGAACATAATTAATAATAAACGAATATCTTTATTACACGAAAACAGATCAAAGAAGTAACTAGATTATTTCAAAGAAGTTTAAAGTAAGAACTTGGTACTTTACTTTGCATACAATAGAGTCGTTTATTTTTCTTTTTGAATCTTTAGACAAATATGGAAAGATATAATTTTTACTAAGAATATCTATCTGTTCATTACTGGTATTTGTATATGGATCTTTGCAAAAATTCTTAAAAGGGACCGTTGATAATAAAACTATTAAGTAGAAAAATGTAATATCTAATGTGTTGTTTATATTTCCAAGTATTCCAGAAACTTTAGTAGTATTAGGTGTATTATAAAGCATAACTAATTATTATTATTAAACTATTTTCGTTTGGACTAAAAAATAGTACTACTATACCCCAAATAAAAACTTTCACAAATATTTTTATCCATACATTTAGAAAATAATTGATCAAAATAAAGTTGGAAAAAAAAGAAATTTTAAATTTGAAAATCAAAAAAAATATATATTTATTTTAAAAAAAAAATGAGAGCCACCGGATTTTCTCTGTATTTAATATCCCTCTTAGTGCAGTAACCATTGAGTAAAGCCGTAACCATGGTAATATCAAAGATTAAGAAATTATACCGTGAGAAAATTTGCGGTGAACAGGAAGTTCTAAAAAGTTTTCTAAAATATACAGGGAAATTTAAAAGAAAATGCACAACATTCAATTCATTCATCCATTCATTTTGAACATCTTTTTTTGCGAAAGACACCTCATAGACGTGTTCCTGGGGTGGTAGAAATATACCACTCTTAAAAATATTTGCACTTATTTAAGACTCACCCCGTATATTTAGTCTAGCTACATGAGATATACGAATCAACGATATTATCAACAGATTATTTTATCGTTATGTAAAGCTATGGATTTTTACAGATGTATGAATTCTGTAACTGACTTGTGCATTCAAAGTTCCAAATACCATGAATGCTATCGCTTCGTGATGATAAACAGAATTCTACAAGACACGTAGTTTCATTTTGTGTAGCCTTAAGATATTGTATATCTGATCTACAATCTAACACAAATACTGAATGCTTTCATTATCATGTACAGAGATTCAGTATTACTTTTTGCTATAAAATTACAAAAATCTAATACAAAATTACAAATTATTCGTACAACACGTATCTTAAAATATGGAAATGGGGTTATTTGTTAATTTAATCAATTTTATGGGTTTCTTTTTTACTTGCACAATTCCTACTATAATTAAACCATGTTCAATTGTTTCAAGTAATAAATCAATTTTAAATAGACTAATAATTTCAATCACAATAAACAACTAATAACAAATAACGAATAGAATCCACATAAAAAAAATCTCTTAATACGACTATGATACGGGTTAACCTACTTAAAAATATTATCGTTACCGTCAAAGTACGTTTGTATAAGTCAACCCAATCGCTAAAAAAATATATTGTGCAAATATCGCTTTCTTATTTTAGATTTTTAGGTCAGATTAAACGAAATAAAATTAGGTCGGTCTAATCTTTACGTTTACAGCGTTCTATGATGATGGACTGTCTTCTAAAAGAATATTGATAGAAACATCCATTATGTGTTGTTGATCTTTATACAGTGATGTAAATGGGGGTGCCATGTAGTATTAACAATGGTTTACATGGCTTTAACATTAAGACCAAATGCCTGTTAAAAAAAACTAACATCAATTGTTAAAAATTGATATTTTTAAAGTCTCTCTATACAGGGCATCAAAACAGTAGTTTATCTAACGGTGAGTGATTCTACTAAAAAAACGAAAGTGCTATTAAAAACGGCAAAGAGAAAATATGTTTCTTTTATCGAAATCTACCAGCCCTGAAAATATTTGCACTTATTTAAGATTCACCCTGTATAATAGATAACTTATTGTTTTATTATTTAAACCCAATTATTATGCACCAGTTTAAATTTTAAATATATAATATATCTAACATATAAATTATATTACAATAAATAATTAATCGAATAATTTTTTAAACATGTTAATTCGAGAACCAATTATAATTTCTAAATTTAACAACGTATCAGAAAGGCTGTATAATTGTCAATTAGAGATTTCCGTTCAAGATTTTTTAAAACAACGGTATTAATCTTAATACTTTATAAAAGTTTTAATTGTTTATTACATATATTATTATTTAAAACGTAGTACAGATATTTTTCAGTTAATTAAAATGTCATTGTGTTTGGAGTCATTAAAAAACATGGCAGACAAAGAACGGTTTCTTGTAGAGAGAATATTAATATGTATTTCCTGTTGTAGACAATGGGAAGCATCTTACGTGACGACATGTTAAAATACCATTTCAGTTTTAATTTTATATTGTGGTATTTTATTTTTAAGTCTTTCTTTGTAAGGCTATATGCATATAAGATTAAATATTTTATCAAAATGTCTGATATACATATTATCATTTTTATGTTTCTCTTTCACAGAATCATTTAGTCATAATAATTGCTCGCTTGTATCATAGATAACTTTAATAATATAGTTATTATTGAGTGTGTGTCACCTTATTAAACTAAAAAAAAATACTGTATAAAAATGTATATAAGAGATGTTTCCTTTGTCGAGACTATGAGCTTTGAAAATATTTGCACTTATTTAAGACACACTCTATATAATTAAATATAACTTTTCTTACCTTAATAGTTCAAAACTGATGCACAGATGATTTCTAAAATAAAAATACTCCAACATATGAATTACGTTGTGGTTACTGTCTTTGTCTTTCTTCCTTAAGTGATCTAGAATCCTCACTTCCACCAAAGCCTGATGATGGAACCTCTTTTTGTTCCTTATAATTTTTATTGCTACGTGCTTGTTGGTCATGTGATCTAGTGCTCTGATGACTTGTCCAAAGCTCCCTTTGCCAATTACTTCTAGTATTTCGTAGCGGTAGTATATATGATCATGCAGCACCTGGAATTAAAAGAAAATTATATAAATATGGATTGTTCATAATACAAAATGAAATGAGCTCCAGATGCAGTATTGTAGAGGTATACCCTGTTGGCAAGCGAAACCTTGGGTCGGCGTTTACATGTATACTGTTTGACCAGCGGATCTGAAGCTACGGAAGGAATGCGAGAAAAAAAAATCGATATTGCCACGTTTATCTATAAAATTGCAAAATTGCCAGACACGAACTATAAATTTAATATATTTTTATTATATATAAAGTGTTTAGCATATATTCTGACGTATATTATTAAGGAATTTTAACGTAGTTCATATTGTTCGATATGTTTTATTTAATTTATTAACTTATTTCTTTCATTCTGTATAATCTGCTTATTATGAAAGTTGAAGATTTTTCAACGATATCATTAGCAAACCGGCATCGCCGCGCATGGCCGCCTATTCGTCGAACATGATTGGCCAGAGTACGTCACAGGATTTGTTACAACGCGGTTGCCATGGCTTTTACGCCTTTCCTATTCGCTTGCTTTATCCCCAACGTCACGGTCTCTTCTGAAAAGAGTAGGAATATTGAATACTATTGATATATCCAGTGGCGGTGTAATTTTTTTGATCATTATTACTTTATTTCATTATTTTATACCGGTTATTCTAAACTTTGTTCCTATATTTTTCGTATATTTGATAGTTAAGTTGTGTTTTATTATTTTGTTATCTTGTTATAATGTTTTTCGTTCGTAGTTTTTAATTATTAATATCAAGTTTGATCGTATATTTGTGTTTTAAAATGAATAAATTTGTTAAGGGTAAGACGCTACATAGTCAGACAAGAGAAATAATAGCTAATTTATATAGGTAAGTTAATAATAACGTGGATGAAATCTCATTTGGTTTATTTCCTTGTGTTCATAATAGGGTTTGCGATGAAGAAGCTACAGAGAGTTCGCTTTAGTTGCCGCTTAAACGTAAACTTGAGCGGATATTTTTTTATACCGGAGTTATCGGCTATAAAAAAATTCACACAGAAGATAAAAAAAGGCTGAAAACTAACCCCGATAAAATGATATCCAGCTCTGGAAAGAAACGACCACGTGAGACTGCTGTCGAAAAGCTCGACGACTTTTTCGAAGTGGTCAGGAATTTGATAAATAGATTTTATCTCGAATTCAAACTCGTCCCCACAATTAGAAAGCTTTTGCAAAAATTGCAGGAAGAATCGAATTTTCCTTTTGCAGGGAAGCGCTTAGAGGGTTATTAAAATCAAATGAATTTTTTTGGCGTAAATGTCAAAATAACAGATAAATATTAATGGAGCGGCCCATTATATTGTAGAGAGAGATATAAATATATACGCGAAATTCGAAAATATAGCCAAGTATTATCTATTTGGATGAAACATATGGGTAGACAATGACCTAACCTTTAAAAACTGCTGGCGGAGCGATACCATATCTGGTGTAATAGGCAATATTGGATCTACTGGTGAGTAAAATTATGTTTTGTTTGCGCTTCCAAAGTTAACTATTTTCAAGATTTTTTTGCTGGAAATAGTTATATCTAAAATTATGTATTATAGAAAAAAATATAGTTAGTACAGATATATAAATAAATATACCTCAAGACTCAGTCTTGATCATCTGCTGATGGCAGACATGGTTAGCGAAACATGCGTCCAGTGTAAAATTAAAAGTGTTTTGGTGTATTGTACTGATTTAGTGTTTTATTTTGCTGTGTAACACCAAAGGTTCCAACCCCCAGCTGTAATTATTTCTTCTATTATATTAACAACACAATAATAAAATGATTCAAAATATTTAAGGGAGCTTTAATAAAAGCTTTTAGTGTTTATCTGCTAACTCAACAGTAACGATTCAAACAGCATAAAGTTTTTTGAAAAAAATTATTAATCTGAGTATTATATTTATGATACACATTATTTTCATATAACACCGTACGCCCATGCCTATTTTATGAATGAAATTGGGCGTGTTTTGTTTACAACTGCATTCCCCTGCCGATACCCCGTAGCTACAGATCCGTTGGTCACACTTTTATAGGAGTGAATCGATATGGCAATCTAGTAAGTTGGAGAGAGCAAAAATACGAAGTATTTATTACATAACCACTTAACCTGACGCTAGATTCCGTGCTCTTGGGAAAATTCTTGCCTTCTGCTTCTGTCTTTATTCAGTACATCTTATTTTGCTAAGCGTGTTGACCATACCCTTCGGACACACAAAAATCGGCACCCAAGAGCAGAAATGCCAGCCCTAGTATATTTGATATCAATTAAACTTTTAGTTACGTAATCGAGGGCGCAATTTTTAAATCCATTGTTGCCAATCATGGATATATTCGGCGCCGGGCCTACTAACTGGAATTTATTTTTCACGCTGGGGATTCAAGTGGTAGCTCTGCTATAAAAAAATGTCAAGTTGAAACATATAGGTATTTATTTATTTCCTGTCATTGTCATTCGTTTTGACACTTTAGTTTAGTATAATGAGTTTTTGGTTTAAATAAATAGTGTTGTGATACTTTAAGCTTAAAAATGTTTACTAGCAGACCTTGCAGTCAAACATTGTTCTCTTCAGAATCTCTTGTTAAGCCTAAACAAGATGATATAAGCTTATAATATTAATTCAGTAAGGAACAAAAGAACCAAACACTATTTTTGAATATTTTTCAATATGTATTATATTCTTCTGATTGAATTTGTAAATTAAATTTATGCATAATTGAAAACCTTTGTTTATTTAACATCACGTTTTAACAGCGGGGTGTATTTAATTCACAACAATATTTTTGTTATTCTGTCATATAAAGTTGTCGGGTTTTCTAAACCTCTGACAGCGGTTGAAATTATTGTTTTAGGTTGTTCATTCATTCGCAGTTCAATATTCTGGGCATATTTTAACCCTTGTCAACTCTATCTGCTTTACCTACCTCAGCCCATAACTAATTTGGAAAATATTGTAAAAATAAATGTCGCCAATAACTTGTTTTATCTTTTATACGCTTTATAAGAACATTAAAAATATACCAGAAAAAGAAATTAGGAATATATTCAGAAAAAAAAATCATATTATGTCTGCATAATGATCCTGAAAATACTCATTTTATCTCCTTTTTAGTACTAGTTTAATATATATTTTTGTGTTTTTAAGCTCGTTTAGGTTTTGGTTAGGTACCATAATATACAGGGTCGCTGATATGTATGGGAACGGTCTATTATTAGGTAAAATATAAAAGGTACCGCAAAAAGTTAAATATAAAAGTTATAGAGTTTTTAAATATCTATTAGCGGGTAATACATTTAAGTATACAGGGTCGGTCATAAAGTCGTGGTACATCAAAGTTTCGTTTTTAAATGGTAATGTATATTATGTATACACCCTGTATATGTATATACCCTGTATATTATTGCATGTTTCGGTTCTTCCTTCACTTCTAAGCAAAAATCGCATACAATGTACCTCAAACCAACCGTTTCCGAGTTATTGACGTGTTTTGACTTTAAATATCACTTAAATAATTCGATTTAATTAATTTCAATGTGTCCGATTTCATTTAACGATGCCATTCTGTGGAAACTGTGATACTTAGTAATATTTGACGTTAATTTTCAAGTTAGCATTTATAGATGTATAAAATGAGATTATATCAAGTCTGGAAATTGCAAAATTTTTGTTTAACATTTCAAAATCAAAACTTCATAATTCGGAAATTGTTGAATTTATGCAGGTACATTATGTGTATTATGATTTATAATGATGGCAAATAGAAGACTAAGAGCAAGACTCTTGCTAGTCTTTTTATGGTATACTTTCAGGTAAATCGGAAAGAACAGGAAGTAAAGTTCAGACTTGATCATAAAACCAAACTTTTAATGCCATTATAAATCATCATTATCATGATTCTCATCTTATTCAACCATTTCCAATTATGGTGTAGTCTCCCGCATATATTTAGATACTCTCATTGTAGATGGGCTCATTGTTGTCTATTGTTCTCTATCGGGCCCAAGTTATCACTGCTATTTCTTAATATCATGCCCAATCTCAGGTTTGGTCTTCTTCTAGGTCTCTTAATTCCTCGCCGGTACCATCACTTGAGGGATTTATGACATCTATTACCTGAGTCTTTTGTCTTATCCATGCACTCTATTCTTTTACGGTCTTTCTTGTTATTTTCAGCATATTTCGTTCCATTGCGCGTTGTGCGACCTGCAGTTCGGTTTGCCTGTTAGGTCGGTTTCGCATGCATAGGTCATGACTGGTAGTACACATTGGTCGAATGTTTTCTTCTTTAGATAAAGTTCATTCATACTGAACAAACTATAAAGTCAGTTAGCTTATTTTTATCGATTTTAATTTATTAGAAAATAAAAGCAAGTTCGCATAATGGCAACTTTCATGTACCAAAGAGATACCAAAAAAATCTGCTAAAATTCTAATTCTTTAAATACAAATTTTTAAAAATGTATCAGTGTTGAAAAATATATAATTTACTTCTGCTGTCATTTTTGTAGAGCAGAATTATTTTAATTAGAATAAAATACGAGAAAAGCATTTAAAAAAATCGGTTTATAATATCCTTAATTTAAAACACTAAGATTTTTATCTAAATTTGATCTTACGCAGCTTTTAATGAATGGGACTATGGGACGCAGTCAAAAAAATAAACATATTTTTTTAGAAATTACACAAAATATTTAAATTTTATTTTTATGTAGAGATTTACAAAATATACAGGGTGGTCCGAACTGTATTCCGAAAACTTTGGCCCCAGCGTATTCTGCAGATAAAATACTTAGTTTCGGAGATACAAGATGTAGAAGTTTCAATTTTATTTCGATTTTTTCCAAATAATTTCTGTAAATTTTCCAAGTAATTTGTGTAACGTGAATATTCGCATGGAAATTGGTGTCTGGGCGTTTTTTGACATGAGAAATTTGATTTTGATGTCAACATGATTCCTGTACCTGTATAAAACTACTG